CCCCATAAACCACCTTCCCACTAAGTTTCAAGAAAATCGCGGTAATGATGTGATCAGATTACAGTTACAAGGAAAACCTGTCAGTTACAAATTTATGGCTAAAATCTATTTAGATTAATGGATAAACAGCAACACAGTGGCAGCTGCAGAAGCAAAAGCAGAAGAAAAGGCTTGATGGAAAAACTCTCATTGTCATTCATCACTTCAACGGTTCCAACGTCTCGCAGAGCAGTCGACTGCCAAAACTGCCACTGGAGGAGAGAGTATAATGGTCTCTCAGCTCCTGTGCCAGGTATCTGTTCTGAGCAGAGAGGACATGTGACGACAACAACCGCGAGAGACTGCAGGAAGAAGTGACAGAAGATGAGGGGATGAAAGACAGAGAGAAAGAAAGAGTGGAGGACAAAGCAGAAGGAAGCAGACTAATGAACAGAGAAGGAGCTGGACTGAGGGTTGGCTGTTCTACACTGTTTCTCAGCCAATGAACAGATCCTGAATGAACAGAGCAAGTGGAAGACAAAAAACACTGAATAAAGTGTAAATATTCTCCTCATTAACTCTTTAAATAAAGATGTTATGGATTGCTTAGATATGTCGATATGTATAATGGATGTCAACATTTGACATGAGCTAAAGCCAAACAAGAAACAGACGTGGAGACACAGACAGTCAAAAGGTTGACGGGCAGGACGGGAGACAAAGAGCTCAGCTGAGTCGCATATGGAGCGGTTTTGTGTTCGCCGTGTGGGGACAGGAAGGTCACCGTCACAATAAGTGTCTAGTCAAGTATGGCCTCGCCTGGAGACATGAAAGGGCCTCCTCAGCGCCCATTCATCCCTCCTTCCTGCCGTCCCTCTACGCAGCCAGCAAAGCCCCGTGCTGCGAGCTCCAATACAACAGCTTCCTCTGTTGGCCAGCCTTCTATGAAAAGTTAATCGTAATTGCCCACAGATGCCACATTAGGGTACGATCACGGGGGGGAGAAAGATTCATCTCTGAATAGAATGCTTAAAGAGGGAAGGGGGAAAAATGGAATTCATATCATCGTGGTTTCAAAAGAACAGAGAGACGTTATTCAGAATCATCACAGACGTCTGGGGTCCCTCAGGACGCCTCTGGACTCTGACAGCACTGTCGTCAACACACACTGAGGAAGAGCTTGGAGACGTGCCACATAATGAGCAGATTAAAATTCCTTTATGAAAAGACGTTTGCTATTCATCCAGAGATTCTGTTACAGTTCAAAATGAAGATCAACTGTTCCCTTTTTTTAGTCAGGAAATATGAAAGAAATTAACAAATCTGGGAGTGGACATTATTTCAAATTTTTTCATTTGAAAACCCCATCTCCTCCATGTTAGTGGATGGGAGATGGACCAAAAAGTACACATCAAATTTTTCTTGACTTTGGTTTCTATTATTTTAGACAGACAGGCTCTAAATAATGTCTGCATGGTTTTTATCGAAAACTTTCATAAGAGGGATGTTTCAAAGTAACTGCAGATCTGCCCATAATGCATCACTGCATACCCTCATGTAAATGATCCACTCGTGACCTGTCAGTGACCTTTGTGTAGCACTAACACTCAGTGATCATACAGTTTCATTTCAACCTGCAACAATCTGTCCGATGTTCAGTACTTCTTCTGTTCATGGACTCACAATCCCCACAGCTGTCCTACTTCTGTCTCTGTGCTGGAAAAGGAAAATTAAACCAGCAACACTGTAATGAGTGTACGACTTCAAAGAAAAAGGAAGGATTCAAATAATACTGGCAGGAGGAAAAGAGGGGAGGTGTAACTGCAGTCAACATTTCTGTCCCTGATATGTATAGTGATTGATTTTCCTTCTGTAAAGTAGAAAAAACACACGTGTATGAAATAGTATTTTGTGATTTACGTGCTCTGGCAGCACGGGCTGCCATCGCTGACACGGCCGTTCTGGTTTTGATTCAGCATGATGATGAACAACAAAAAGCATGAAACACAAACTGAAAGAGACATGATGGAGAGGCCGAGAGGATTAGAGAAATCCTTTTCCAGTTCGCTGGGGATGAGGTCAAATCTTTCATCAAATCATTTTGTCTTTTACTGAGGGTGAAGCAAACGGCACGATACGATTACTCCTGCCAACACCTGCTCAGACTGAAAGACACTGGGGTCATGAGGCAGAGCACAATCATGACTCTGCTCATCTTTCATGAGTTTGTTGACAGCTGATTGTCACAATTTGCTGATTTATCTGAACCAGAAAAATCCTGAATAACTACAATGACTCTCAGTGGGGTGCATACCTACACCAAGGCCCAACAGTCCCCTTCAATAATTCAATGTCCATAAATTATTCCCGGGAAAAAAACTAAAAGTGCATGTTAAAGAAAGAGATAATACAATTCTGAATCATTCCCTCTGCCTGGATCTGTTTCAACAATTTCAGGGTTCTTCCTTGGCCCATGTCCCATCCTTTCACCAGGTTTCGCGGAAATCTGTTCAGTAGTTTTACGTAATCCTGCTGAAAATGAAATAAACAAATGAACTTACACCCTCCTTAGTGGAGGTAACCAGAACTGAAAACTTGTGTTTAACTGTACAGATGTCTGCAGCCATAACCTTCCTTTGTGTGGATATCACTGTCCAACCACAATTACACACTGCTGATACTGAAAAAAATTTGTGCAACAAGTAACCACAAAGGCCTCACCAGTCTCTGACACCATGTGACACAACAGTAATTGATAAACTGATAGCAAGGAACAGATCAAAAGTCATCTGATCGCTTCCGTTTTTTAAAAGAGGAACTCAGATTACAACAGAATTAAATGACTCCAGTGTCTAGATACTGCTAAAAGGACCTGCTTTATGAATTATTAAAAATAAAACAATTATATATGCACAAACAGATGTAGAGGAAAATCACATCTAAGCAGCAATTTAAAACAATGTAGGACTTGGGATGTTGCTTTCATTAATGCTTCATTTACCTTTTAGTCTTTAGTCAGTTTCCTGACTGGTGAATCTTAGATGAGATAAAGATCAACTTTTGCAATGACACAAAACAGCAGAAAGATAAACAGAGTGACTTGTAGGCACTGGAGACGATTCGCTCACAGGCCTCAGCTGCCATGAAAAATGTATTGTGAAAATGCTGGAGGGCTCCTGTTAAGACCAAACCAGTTTTCCAATCTGGTGCACCCGGCGGAGGGCTCCGCATTAACATGAAGGTGCGTTTCTCCTCTGGGAGCAGCAGCTCGGAAATAAAACAGCTATTGTCGCTGCTGCTTCTCTATTCGACCTGTTCAAACCTGCTGTTCAAACACGGAAAATAAAAGACAGAACACACACACACTGTTTTAAAACTAGAACAATCTCCATCCACACAAGGATATCAGCTCTGCAACAGTAATAATCCTCCTCGAACTAACACATCTGAAAACGAATATCACTTGACCATTCATGCACAATGTGTGTGCCGGTGTAAACAGGAAGTAGTTTGTCTACTCTGGTGCCAGTTGCTTATTTACAGGAAATACTATGAACAAGAAATAACAAAGGTGAAATCTTTTCTTGGATCAATGACAAGTTGGATCTGTTACTATCAGTAAAGGTTTGTGTCTTCACCGCTAATAGTCGAGTAGAATGGTCAGTCAGAAATCAGAACCAATCAGAAATTGACTGTTTGCCGATCCAGACTACAACGCAGCCTTTGGTTTTCAAACTAAATCACAGCATTTCCAAACTTCTTCGTTTTAGCATGAGAGCTCCAGTTTACAGTTAAGATTACAATTACGATTATTTTTGGTTTGACGAAAAGGTCGTCAACGGACACACACGTGTACAACTCCTGCAGACACCAAACAAATGATTTGGATTTTCATTTATCCTCATGTAGCTCATAAAAGCACGGCAATAGCCGAAGGTATGGTTGGTAAAAGGAAAACGAAATAATCCATGGCTGTGAACGGAAAGCCATGGTGCAGTCGTTCCAACACACAATGTTTTAAAGTCTTATGTTTGAATGTTTATGAACAATTCCATTGTGATGTTTTTAATATTAATGTGCAAGTTAACCTTAATTTGCCTTTGAAAGTTAAACATTGACTCAGCTGCTATTAATTTCAATAGATCCTGTTGATAAAAGCCCTGGAAAATAATCTACAATCATCGCTAATGAACGTTTAAATAACGAGCTGAGTTTTGAAGGTCCCCGAAGCTACTGAGAGGCATATCTGTGTGTGTGTGTGTGTGTGTGTGTGTGCGCGCGCTCCTGTCATCTGGCCCAGAAGTCTACTTCCTACCCTCTTTCCAAACAGGAAGCCAAAACAAATCCTTGATGACTCGGGTCAGTGGTTTAATTGTCTCCACAGGATTTCTGTGCAGACAGCAACCAGAACGTCTCCTACATCACTCCAGCACCATTCATCATACAGTACCAACCCATCCCCCTGCTGGTGTGTGTGTGTGTGTGTTTGTGTGTGTGGGTGTGTGCTTCATGTATTGTATGTGCATGCACCTTTAATGTAATTACTCCAGCAAACATATGGAGGAGATTTTAACAAGATATCGAAAACCTTTTGTTCCTTTTGAGCACACACACACACAGACATACATACACAGACACACACACTGACCTGAACTTAAACCTGACCTTAAACTAACTTAAACCGTAAGCTAAGCCTAAACTTAACCTGAGTAATACCTGGACCTAACCCTAAGACACACACACACACTTGTTCCTGCATGACAACCTGACCAGAGGCTTCACACAGACAAGACATTTTACTTTGAAAGGATGAAAGTCAATCCAGATGTTGGAAGGCCAGGTGTGTGTGTGTGTGTGTGTGTGTGTGTGTGTGTGTGTGTGTGTGTGTGTGTGTGTGTGTGTGTGTGTGTAGGATGCTGACAGGCTCCCTCCCTTCCAACAGCACCGAGGTGTGCAGAAAATGACAGCCGGCGTGAGAGGCGACACAGCCCGGTAACGACCCACGCTCTCCCTCCGCTTACCTTCAGAGCAGAGTCCGGTTCCCTGTGGCCCAGCTCGGCACGGCACGGCTCCTCCGCTGCGGCCGGTGTCACTTCATAAGTTATCCCCCCGGGCACGAGTACTTTCACGATGAGGCTCGAACCAGAGGGCGGTGTTCACGTGCCATACAGATGTGGAACACCCGGTTAGTTTCTGTGGTGGCTCACACAGCGGCTCCTCCGTGCGTCCTCCCGCCGGTCCACGGTGCGTCTGCTGCCGCCTGCTGCTGCTGCTACTGCCGCTTTCGTCGACCGACCCAGCCACCGACTCCAGCCGGCCTACACTGACGCCTAGCGGGGAAACCGAGTAGCGACAGGCTGTTTTATAGGTTTTATGGCCCTAACGAGCTTGGAAGAGTTTTCAATATTCACCCAGCCTTCAGTTGTCATAAAAACTCAAGAGGCGTTTTGTTTGTTCAGTCTGGGCTACTATATAAAACATGGAGAGAGGACCCACTCCATGTAAATATAGTATTTAAATATAAAGGCTCATTCTAGGGTAAAAAACCACACATCATACAATTTCAGAATCAGAATCAGAATCACTTTTATTGCCAGGTATGTGAACACACACGAGGAATTTGACTCCAGGTTTTTCTTAGCTCTCTTAATACAAACATTACAAGTAAAAAAAAAACCACAGACATAAACAAGAACAAAAGACAAACAACAAAAGCTCTGTACATGTGAAAAAGCTAAATAGTTTGGTGCAATGGTGCATAGAGCATGGATGAAATAATAAATATACATATACAGTGTGCCCAGTATATTGGTATGTACAGATATTTTACAGGTGATCTTACTCAAATATCAGATATTTGATGTTACTGATGTTTGAGAATTTAGATGAACACTAGTGGAAACACCATTAGGATTATTTTATATTAAATTTCTACCAATAAATCCCTCTCACCTGATCCTTTAGAAAGCTCTTTCAGTAATTTTGGCGGTGCTGCCGTTGTGGTTTATTCCCTCCGACATGTTCTCCCCCTGCAGGCTTGGTGTCCTGTTCCTTGGACCCCCTCTCTATCTTCTTACTGCCCTCACCTTTGATGGCTTCACCTGACCACCATCTCTCTCACCAACCCTACACTACTAACCGCAGCATTCAGGCCATGCAACAATGTGGACGTCTGGTGTGAAAAGATGCAGCACACAGGATACAGCTCAGTATGACGGATTATTTGCGAGCCCTGGCCAGGTGTCTCTGGGTGTGGTTGGGATGAAATGTCACTTTTCATGTCATTTTTCATTTTTTGGTGTAGTGGTGAATAGCTGAAAAATAGAAAGGATGCTCAAAGGAAAAGAAATAAGAAAGAGAAACTGACAGAGGCTGTAACTCAAAGTAATTTTAATCTGCTGAGGTGGTAGCATGAAAATACTCATTTATGATAATGATTTTAAAGCATGAACCCGGGATCTGCAGGGCCCCATTTGAGAACCAATACTTTACATAGTAAGGTTAAGACCTGATATTATATTATATATATTATAGAGAAACCCAACAGATCGCACAGGGAGCAAGTACTTGGGGACAGTGGAAAATGTCTGAAAACAACCTCGACTGAAGCACATGTGTCGAAAGTCCAGTATTTGTGTGAAAAGTGTAAATAAGCTCATGTATGTTTTCTGAGTGTTTGAGTCCACATTTGCTCCCTCTGCAGGTTTACTTCCAGGCTGCTTTGTTACATGCAGCACTGTATCACTTGGACGCCGGCCTCCTCCTCCTTCTCCTCCTGCAGCTGGAGGCCAGGACAGGAAGCAGAGCTGGTGAGATTTCTGACAAATGGGCCCACCTCAGGGGGTAACAGGGCTTATACATGTGAGATAGCAGCAAAGACTGGAAGAGGGGGGGCTCCACTAACATCCTATTTTTATGATCTAATTTCAGATAAAAATATTTTTGGAGGTGTATTTTCATTCAGTTCAATTACAGCCCACACCCCAGACTCACAAATGTCTCTCCACATGCAGCCGGTACAATCAATTCTGGTCTCTGCACTCTGAGAGTCACACAACGTGCAGCACATACAAAGAGCTGCTCTCCTCCTGTTAGAGCTGATTACAATGTGGCTGCAGAAAACAAGCTCAGAGGATGATCAGTGTGTGAGATGATTACAAGGTGCGTTCACACTTTCTGGGAGGATTTTATAGACATTAAAGGGAAATCTGTTCAAATGAATATGAGTATTTAATTAGCCTGTTGACTCTTGATGCTATTCACATATTTTATATAGGTCATAATTTAACTTTAACAACATGCTCTTGACAAAACAAACAAAATTAAACTTACCACTGTTCATCTGAATCCATCTTTCAAACTTTAATGTTGATTTAAAGGAACAGAATCATTCTTATGAACTCGTATCTCCTTCTTGTGGGGTAAAGAATTAATATATTTTAAAAGAAGATAGTTTAAACCAGTGATTCTCAAACTTTTGCAGGACAAGGACCCCCACACTGACACTGGATTACCCTGGACCCCCCATTTTACAAGATTCTTTTGCTTTGAGATGTTTTAATACAGGAAATATAAAAAATTTGGGATAAAAACAGTTATACATTCTGCCAGTCTGTTACTAATAGATGGAATTATAGTGACAATTATTGCTTAATGCCAGGGACCCCTGGAACCCCCTCAAGGATGCTTAGTGTATATTTACTACTAAAAGTTGAGACAGACCTTTGTGTGTTTTCTTTATGACATTCCAAGTAGAAATGAACTGATCACATCAGAGTGTTGAATATGGACATGAATTAATTTAGTCGAGTCAGATTAAGTGGCACAGGAATACAGTTTGTTCAGTTTTACTCTAAAAAGTCACATCACTTCCACCTGCTGGATCTTATTCTCTGTTTACCTTCATATATAGATCAAGATCTACAGGTGCACATTTTAAATCGAACAACACGGTCCTAAATGAGGATAAAACATGTATCATATACATGATTTCCAAATATATAAAACATGAGACTAAGAGAATAATTAAGTACAAAACAATCAAGTTGAAGTGATGCTATAGAGCAGGTCAGAGCTTTCCTCTTACTTTATACCATTTTAGCCGCTGAGTGTTTGATATGCATTAGATATGAGCACATTGAACCAAAAGCATGACTGTGCATTTTTGTGACACATACCTCATGAGGTCCCCTTTATGTGCTTAGTCAGAATCTGTCATTTACCTTGTTTGTTGATTCTGCAGATCTAAATATAAAGTGGTCAAAACTCAATCAAAGCCACTTTTAAAATATTAAAGGCTGCATTTGTGTTGGATCAAAAAAAGGAGCCACATGATTTAATGATATTCTACATTGATGAAGTGAGAGTGACCAATGAATGCAGGCTGGACCCGTGCCCACTGTGGCTCGAACAGCAGCTTATGGAGCAGCAGATAGGAGAGGGTGAAGGAGTTTATCTGCAAAAACCTGCACCGACTGTAATATATCATCTGGATTCAAAAGCCTGACTCATGCTTTCACGTAACATTTAATCAAGTCTTAGGTGGCCAATGTATAGTGTGAATGTATAAAGAAAGAAAATCTTTTAAAATAAAAAGTCCTTACTATGTAAAAGTATTTTAAAAAGGGCCTTATTGTCTGAGATTAGAAATAAATGTGTGAATTTGTATTTGTAAGTGGGTCTATGTTAGTATTTGGTGGCTGAGAGAAATCTGAAACTGTTAAATTCTAATTTAAAAACAATGGTGGCAGCTAAACTGACCATCACAGGAAACCCCCTCACACCAGCTCCACTCATGACAGAGAAGCAGCGTGACGCACGCACAGCAGCAGATAGTGGTGCGCAGCCTCCACCCTGCTACATGGCCCTGGCTGCTGTCCGATAACGCACAGGAGACAAAAACAACGAGGCTGCAGCCTGAGACCTTTTACACCTTGTTTTCTCCACACAGGGAATTATTATTTCTCACCGATCCTGTCTGCCTTCGTTGTTTGTCAACGTGTCGATAAAATGGTTGATTAAGCGCCTTTTTACGCACAGCCTTTTTTTTAATCGACCTCTGACCAATCAGCTCTTTGGATATTCAGCCACAGGCCGTCGCTGAGCAGTAAAACAGGCTGCGATGCTCTCAAAGAAAGAGAGGGAGCTGATTGCAGAAATATGGGAAAAGCTGACTCCTGTGGCAGAAGATATTGGCTCAGACGCGCTTCTTAGGTAGGTTCATAAGGACGTTTCATAAAATATGAACCTGATGTCGTGAAATAAACTATTGTGTAGTATTTCAATCTGGTGAGATATTGGATTTATAAATGGTTAAAGTAAAACAGGTGTAAGTTATCTTTTTTTAATATTTGGTTCAAAAGACTAAAACTCATGACACTTTATTTGTGACTTCATCAACACGTGTTAGTGATGATGTCTACAACTATTTATCTCAAAGTAAAGATTTGTAAAGTAATTATTTACAGTTATATCATTAAATCCCCATATGAGATTATGGAAAGCGTAAATTAAAAGTAAATGTATATTAATGATAATATATAAGAATAATTGATAATGCACTATTTTGAATTTGTTGATTCATCAAAGTGGTTTCAAGATATTGCAAGGTATTGATGATGATGATGATGATGATGATGATGGATGTGGTGATGATGATGACGATGATGATGACGGATGTGGTGGTAGGGGTCAGTCTCCATGTGTCACCTATACTCCCACTGTTCCCCTCCTCCACAGGATGTTCGCCTCTTACCCAGGCACCAAGACATACTTCTCCCACCTCGACATCAGCGCCCGCTCCGCTCACCTGCTCTCCCACGGGAAGAAGATCGTCCTGGCCATCGCAGAGGGAGCCAGAGACATCAGCCAGCTGACCGTCACTCTGGCTCCTCTCCAAACGCTGCACGCCTACCAGCTCCGGATAGACCCGACCAACTTCAAGGTGCCGGCCCTGAGACAAAGCAGTACATATCTCACCTATTGATGACCTAATGGTTACTTGTTGACAATGTTCCTATACTTAAGTGTTCTAATGACTTTTCTCTTACATGAACTCATTATCAGTCAATGTCAGACCTAACCCACTGGCTTTAGATGAACTATTGCACAGAGCTTCAAAAACAACATGTCAATAAAAGTCGTCATAGTATCCAATTACAGTATCTCCACATCGTTTAAGTATTTGCAAGTATAAACTGCAGAAGAATTCATAAATACCCTCTTTCAATGTTATATAAACACAATTCTCATATGCACCCATTCCAAAGTAGGTAGGATGAATAGAAAGACGTGCACACTGGCCTATATGGTGAAATATATCCTTATGTTAGTTCCAAGAGGAAACCGAACGGGCCTAAAATGAAAGTTTGGATTAGAAATCTAATGGCAGATATAAAAAGGATGTGAAATGGCTACAGGAAGTGTTCTGTGTTGCTTTACTTTTTCTGAGTAAAGTGACAGAGGACTGGTGAAGACAAACTGAGAGCAGCACCAATGTAACTCAAAGATCATTTTAATAATACCAGTCCTCTCTGAAGTTGCACTCCTTTGAAAAATGAATGACCAGTTGCCGCCTGGTGTTCAGATGATGCATTCTACTTAATCTATCCAGGCAAAAATCTTTACATGTCCTTTAAAACCAAAATAACTGATTGAATTAAGTGGATGAGGCAGACTTTCATGATTCTCTCATGGTGCAACTAAAGTATAACTGACGTCACTTGGTTCTCCCTTCACCTCTCCACCTCTCCACCTCTCCTGCAGCTCTTCTCACACTGTATGCTCGTCACCCTGGCCTGTCACATGGGTGACGACTTCACGCCGGTTGCACACGCGGCGATGGACAAGTACCTGTCAGCGTTCGCAGCCGTGCTCGCTGAGAAATACCGATGAGAACCAGCCACATGTTTCTATAGTATTTAATATAAAATAATAATAATACAAATGTGCAATTAACATGCAAATGTTTATGTTGTATTGCAATAGAATATCTTAATTATGCATGAAAATATTTTCCTCATGCAGGCACAGACTTAACATGGAGACTGCGTCATTTAGTGCAGTTTATGGAGTTTATGGAGTTTCAGGTGTTACATGTTTATTTAAGTATGTTTCTACATGCAACAACACGTGTTCAGTATGTGAGGGACATACATGATGTGTACGAGTGTTACGTGTGGTGGGAAAATGAATCCAAGCATCATGATTCCTGACTTTTCTATTTAAGAGGTTTATTCAACAAAGTTGAAAAAGGTTTTCTGCAGTGAGGCTCCTGCTGCTTCAAACGGCTGCGGAAGAATCGGGGGAAATCAGAGGCCTGAGTGAACAGAGAGGTCGAGCATATCGAGGCGTCCTGGTTGGATCCATTCAGGTTCTCCGTTCCTTCCCCTCATAGAGACTCTGATGGACGACAGCTGCTGAGTGGACTTTGTGGTGAAGTGGTTTTATAATCTCCTTAGTCAAAGGTCAAGAATGAATTTTCAACCTCAGCCTTTGAGACAATATTTGCCCTTAAAGGGTTAAAAATGACTATTCTTCCAAAAGCTTTTATGACTTTTAGCACTCTGTATCACACCATTTAAAACATATAGTGTATCTTATCCATTTTTACTGACAGTATACTGCTTCACACTCTGTAATGCACAGATAACTTTTCCTGCAGCTAATAAATGCGACAAGGAGCTAACATCAAATCATTGGTCTTATTTATTTTTTAACTCTTCTCTTGCTTTTTCAATCTTATTTAGTCTACAACTAACAAGTTTAAATAACTTTTACTGAAACATGAGATTTTGATTTTATGTGTCGAATGTGATGCCTCTAGACTTTTTCCTGATAATCTTGCAAGTGAACAACACACCTGTCCAGAGGTTCAAATATGTCTGATGCTCTTATTCTTGTGGAGGGTCAGGCAGCTGTTATAACACTGACAGCAGATACAAACAGTTCCAGAAAATGAGGAGCTTATAGGTTAAACCGAAAGGAAGCAGAAGATGGTGATGAGGCCTCAGACACACTGTTGAAAACCTTCCCTGTCTGTGTTTTCCTTTCTCTCTTTACTCCGGTCAAAGTTGCTTCCTGCCGTGTTGCATGATGGAAATATTCCTTTCTAGAACATCTGTTTCCCTAAACACGGCGGGCAGGAATTTGAAAGTCCAGTGTGTAAGATTTAGGTGAAAGGGATTTTTTGGCAAAAACTGAATATAAAATAATCCTAGTGATATTTTCACTGGTGTGTTTGATTTAAATTGTATTAATTGTTGTTTTCTTTACCATAGAATGGGCCATTTATATCTAAAAACTTTATATTTACATGGAGGGGGGGTCCTCTCTGTGGAGACAGCCATGTTTTTTTACTGTCTAAAACCTTTTGAGTTTTCATGACAACTGAAGTTCACCACAGAACTGAATGAGGAGCATTCAGCTGCAACATGCACCTTCACCTCTAGATATCACTAGATTCTGCACACTGAGCCTTTAATGCCACACATAAATTAATTTTACTTCTCCGACCCTATATTGACCTCACTTCAGACTTCATACATTAGGTAACAATGAAATAATATAATAATACATACACAGTGTTTTTGAATGTCATCTTAATTACATTGTTATCTGGACTGAGGTCTTGAGCTGTCCCTGGAGAATTCTTGGAGCTGTCTATGGTGCTGAAACACACTCCCAATTAATGTTGCTGGTGCTGAAATAAATGAACTGGGATTCTCTTGGAGAAGCAGATTATCTCTGACAGATATGGGATCTTATTCTTACTCTGAGTATGCCATTAAGAAGCACTGATATTTCTTCGCATGCAGATAAAGTTACTGGATTATCACAAGAGGATCACGAACCATGGACATAAAATCAAATACATAAATCATACAATGTGACTTATTAGGCCTATGACATTTTGACTTTGTGGAGGATGTGCCTCGTGATCAAAACCTTTTTAAAAAAATAATATTTTTTAATAGTTAATTTAAAAATAAAATCCATTGAGAAGTAGGAGCTGATCAAACATGAAGGGCCACGGTTTAAGGCTAGATATCACTTTTATAAGGAATTCAAGTGGTGCCACCTGCTGGATGATTTATAAAATTAAAACAGGGACTGAGGACACAAAATAGAAATGAAAAGTGAACGGAATCGAAATAAATAGACAGATGAATAAAAATAGAATGAGATAATACAATCCCATCCTGCATGTATTAAAGTGAGTAAAATGTGTATAAGTGAGAAGTAAAGTTAAACAAAATATGTATTAAAATGAAAACAATCTGAAAATAAATAAATAAAAGTTAATTTAAAATGGCATATACCAAATAGTAAAAACAGGGTGAAATATATATTATATTATTATAATAAATACAAATAAAACACAAGACTTTTAATGTAGATCTTCAGTTTTCATTTAAAACAATATTAACACTGTGCTGAATAGTACAATTTAACGATCACTACCATAAGTTAAAAGAAGATCTGATAAGACCATCAAGAGAATTACAAACAAATAAAATGGGTTTATAATGCCCAGAGACTGAAATGAGAGTCATGTGCCACGTTGAAGAAGTTACCCTTCAGTTTCTTTTGGTTGAAATAAGTATTTGTCTCTCTGTCAGCTGTCAGTTGTCCTCATGTGGCTTTCAGCTTCACTATTCACACTGACGCATCAGGAGGGTTGTGGCTCTTATCTGTTAAACGCTTTGGGGCCTAAGTCAGTGGAAAATACGTAAAGATTTTACGTGTTAAACTCGGAATCATAATATGGTTGGTGAAGTCTCTAGAAATGCAGTGGTGCCATAGAATCAAATTAAAATATTTTTAAGTATCATCAGCCACGTGTATTTTAGATTTCATCTATTCAAATATAATGTTTTTTTATATTATGTATTTTTTGTATATATTTTTCAGGTAAGGGGTCTGTAATGGTGCCTTTACGCGCCTCCTCAGGCGTACGAGGTCTGTGCGTAATTGCGCACTCGAACAAGAAAATAGAAAACAGATGAACTTTGCTGTGTTGTTGACTTTTATTGTTTTATGGAAGAGACACATAGGTCTAACACATGTGAACAGACGTTATGGAGATCTCCCCCGGGGGTCCAGGTGCGGAGGCCGCTGGGTTTAGTGGTACTGCCTTCCCAGAGCGGACACAACCACGGCCAGGAACTTCTGCCATGCGGCCTGGATGTCGGGAGTGAAGCCGTTTCCCATTTTTGCAGCGACGACGATGGTCAGGCAGTCAGCCAAGAGCTATAGAAGGAAGGGGACGAATTAGATTCATTGTATTTCATGTAATTTTATATGGCATCATGGAGAATCTTTTCTAAATGTTTTTCCTTTGACTTTGGCACAAACACATGAGTATAAACTGGCAGCAAAAGTGCGGGATGTTTGCATGATTAAAGACAAAGTTGTGGATGGTGAGGCTTTACCCTGAAGTTGTCGGGGTCGACGTGCAGCTTCTCGGAGTGCAGGACGCTGAGCTCGGCGTACGTGCCCTTAATGTCGTCCATGTTCTTGACGGCGCGGTCCAGGCCGTGCAGCACCTTGATCCCGTGGGCCGCGATGTTGGGGTTGCTCTTGATGGTCTCGGCGTTGTAGAGGTTGCCGAAGCCGCCGAAGTACCTCTGGGTCCAGGGGTAGACGATCAGACACCTGGGGAGGAGGAGACAGGAGGAGGGTGTAGGTTTTGGCACCAGAAGAGGACGCAGGCGTTTAGAAACTATAAATCTTTAATTGCATTTGTGTTTGAAGAGTTAGGCCCTCCGTACCTGCTCAGAGCCTTGGGTCCGACATCTTCATAGTCCAGGCTGGAGAAGATGCTGTTGATGATGCCGCGCTCCTGCTGAGTCCACTCAACCATGGCTGCTCTTGTTTGTGTTTTTTGTTCACGCTTCAGAGAACGAATAAAAAGTTGAATAGTGCCTCGGTTGGAGCTATAGTTCTATTTAAATGTCCCAGAGAGGCCCCCCACCCTGCAGGAGAGGGCGGCTGTGATAGGCCGGAGATGAGGCGTCTCAGATAAAGCACTTCTCTCCAGAAGGTTCTTTGATATTTTGGTGGTGCATTAGTATTGCAGATTTAAAGGGATGCAAAAGATGCACGGCAACACTTCGGTGTGCATGGCGAACAAATTTGAGAAAGCATTCGATCATTATTTTCACCTTTAGTTGGATGACTTAAGCTATTAAATTAAAAAAGACCAGATGATATTCGTGCATGTGGGGAAACAATTAAAAGTGAATTTAGTGAGGTTTTATGTTTGGAATGAACCAATTATTCTCCTGATTTGTCCATTAAACTGTTGGGATATTGGTATTTTTAGAGGTTGCCATAGTTACAGTCCTTCCAGTATCCCCTTAGCTCATTTTACCCCATTCATTGATCTGAGAACCTTATTAATGTAGCTCTCATTTATTAGTTATTGTTTGCTTTTTAATTGCTTCAAATATTTGCTTTAATTTTTCACCTTTTTACCTTTAAAGCACCTTGTAACTGTGTTTTGAAGACTGCTATATAAATGAAGGCATAATTGTTATTATTGTTAGTAGTATCAGTAATAGTAGTAGTAGTAGTAGTAGTAGTAGTAGCATGTGTTGAAGTACAAATTTACATGTGGTTTTAATTTCAGGAAAAGCAGCTTGAGAAACCTATAACAAGCACAATAAATCAAATAATTAATGTTAATGTAATTCGATTATTTTTCAAATATTAGACAATATCACATCTCCAATTAATTTAATATCGGTTTAAGACATTGCTGAACTTATTTCTTCTTCTTTTTTAACTTTATTGAGGCCATTGTCTTTTTTTAAAATTAAATGTCAATGAAAAATCCAGAATGATAAATCAAACAACTTCACTTGATTTAATTCGATTATTTCTCAAATATTATCAAGTATGATGTGATTAGTTTGAGCTTTTAATAGTTTGTTATCAACATTAAACATTGTTGATCGGAGAAATACAACTTTTTTTCTTCTTTTTCTCCAAATGTTGAAACTTTATTGAGACCATTTCGTTCTTCTTATTAAATATCAGATGTTGGCCAGACACTGGGATGGTGTGTCATGCCATGAGTCTTGTTATCTGTCAAACCACACTGGTGATTATCTGCAGCACCGCCGCCTCCGCCCAAACACCGGCTGCGCACATTCACACATGTTTGATCGAGAAAATACTTGAGCGAGGTGATAAAGAGGATGAGCGCTGTTTCCAACCCTTGATAGGAAATATAATTATGACCTGAGCCAAAAATGTCTCTAATTAAATAACCTAATAAATCACTGATAAATCTCACTCACACGGCTTCAAATGATAGGGGCTGATTTTTTATTAATAGGTAATGATTCACACAGTCTGCTGCAGGAAGTTAAAGAATGAAATTAAAAGGGATAAGTCTGTTAAAGGTGTCGTTTTCTTTTGTGCAAATTAATAAATGTGCATTATTTCACTTGATTTCTTGAGATGACCTTAAATGACCCATTACTTTTTTCTGTCTTCCTATATTAAACGTTTTGGCTTAAAATGTGGGAATCGAACAAATCGACCAGAATTAAAAATAGTTCTGTGTTGGAATAATCTCAGAAAGAACCTTTCTCTCTTAAGACCTGATGAACACACACGATTGGGTCCTGTATCAAGGTTTCAGAATATAAATAGAGATAAAATACAGAGGCTCCTTTTACGTTTTTTAAATAGTTTCAGGTCAGCACATAGTAAAGAGGGCACCAAGTTTATAATGGTTAAAATCAGTCATGTGTAAGACTGGAGCATTATTTTATGTGTATTCTATTATTTTTTTGTTTTATAAATTCACCTATCCCTCTAAGGCAGGAGAAGTTTATCAGTACAGCACATTTCAACAAACAGGACATTCAAAGTGCTTGACATAAAATAATAAAGGCATCACGAGACAATACAATACAATGTCACTTCACTTAAGTGACATGGGGATTAATGAACAAAATGATAAATAAAAGAGGGAAATATTACACTAAGTCACAATCAACGTTACACAATGTGTTAACGTTGTTACAGTAATGTCCAAGTTACTTTAAATTGCTTATTGCATCGTGTACTTTACCCACAATTCCATGCAAATGGCGGTGACTAACTTTAAAGACGTTCTGTGGTATTTTTACTGTGCATTTTACGGTATTTGATGTAACAGTGTAATAGTGCAGTTACTCTATTAGTAATTGTAATATTTTGATTTAATTAAGTCAGTGGAAAACAGGAGAGTCTTCAGCATTAAATTAAAAGAACTATAAAGTTGCATAAATGGACCATATGTGAAGTAAAACACCTGAAAACTGCTTCTCATGTGTAGTTTTGACTCTTAAGTAGTTTCTGCACCTGACACTCTCTCCTGTGACCTGACACGTCCTCCTAACGTCAGGGCTCCATCACCCTGAGGACCAGCATGCACGTCATACCCAAATCATCATGTTTGTGTCAACTGTCGCCCTGATACCGACCTCTCCACCTGGCACCCGGCCACTGACGCCCATATCATGGGCCGGAGGAAGGGTCAGATCTGCTTGGCATCTGTTCAGGTGGGTGTGACTGCGGAGCCAACTGAATTTAAGTAGAAGTCCGGAGGAACCGGACAACACTGTCCCACTCATAGACAGTAAGAGAGAACCAAGAGAACCATGAGTCTGACCGAGAAAGACAAGACCACCGTCAAGGCCATGTGGGCCAAGATCGGCAAGTCTGCGGAGGTGGTTGGGGCTGATGCTCTGGGCAGGTGAGTAACAGGTTGAATCCATGTTTCAGGAAATATTGTTTGATTGTTTTAAGTTTGATTTTCATGGCTGAAGAAAAGTCTCTCATCATTCATGTTCAACTTTCATTATTTGCCGAAACTAAACCTTTTGCTCCAGGTGAGGCTCGAACTCACAACCTCGGCATTGCTACGCAATTCACTGTCTATAAGTACCGCGCGCTGACCGATTGCGCCACTGGAGCCTGTATTTCACGTTCTACATTGTAGAATAAAAGTTGTTGTAGTACGAGAAGTAGTAGATCTCCAGCTCTTCCAAAATACCAAACTTTCTCACCAGTCTCACTTCTCTCTCCATCCCCGCAGGATGCTCATCATCTACCCGCAAACCAAGACCTACTTCTCCCACTGGACAGACTTGAAGCCCGGCTCTAAGCCCGTGAAGGAGCACGGAAAGAGGATTATTACTGCAATCGGCCAGGGTGTGGCCAAGATCGACGACCTGAACAGCGGCATGCTGGAGCTCAGCGAGCTGCACGCCTTCCAGCTGAGAGTTGACCCGGCGAACTTCAAGGTGAGTCATTCGTCACTGACACCAAGTGCGCCAAGATATCTAATGTGCTACAATCCAGCTCCATAGTCACTGTCACAGTGTGCAGAAGTTGGAATCTTCTCTCACTGACTTGACCTCTGCGTACTTTTACGCACGGTGGGATTTTTTTACTCACAGATTGAATTCTCAGTTACAGTTTTAAAAACGTACTCTCTGCATCCAAAATATATTTTTTTCAGTTTTTTGATTTTTATTGAGGGTGTGAGATGGCAGAGAAGTGCAAGACACCAACTTTTCTTTTTCTGTGGGAATGAACTAACTTGTTCAGATGGATGTTGGCAGCAGTGCAGACCATATGTCTGCTAAATGGTTTTCCTCATGTCCACAGCTCCTGAGCCACTGCATCCTCGTGGTGCTGGCCGTCATGTTCCCCAAGGACTTCACCCCCGAGGTCCACGTCGCCATGGACAAATACCTGGCTTGCCTGTCCCTGGCTCTCTCTGAGAGATACCGCTGAGCTGCCCTCAGTGTGCCACACAAGGCCATGTCACCCATGCACGGTGGAAAATGAAGAAATAAACCGTATGCCACCAAAAAACTCTGTCTTTTGTGACGTTTCTTTGTTGAAGGTGAAATGAAGAGATGTTTGTTTTATTCTTTTTATTTCACACTGAAAAATCCTCACTGTGGTCTTACAGCTTGACATGGATAACAAAAAAATACAACTTTTTTCCACAAAACATTTTGGCATGATGAACAACAAATATATAGGCAGACGTAGTTTATGGGTTTATTATGGCGAGGACGATAAACGCACAATAGAAGTGGTTATGATTTCATAACCACTCGTACCTTATCATCACCGAGGATGAGCCTGAGAAAGAAGAGAGAGAATCATTGTGAATCAGGTGTTATCTCTCATTTTATTTGATTTTATTGCAACATCCAGTAACTTTCTCTCACCTGAGCAGAGCAGCTGCCACCAGACCTCCTCCGATGGGCCCCACCCAGTAGACCCAGTGGTAGGTCCAGTAGTTGGCCATCACTGCAGGGCCGAATGCCCTGGCTGGGTTCAGACACGTCCCTGACACGTCACCTCTGCACCAACAAGAAAACAACAACAATATTTTAATCATTCAACATTTTAAACTTATTATTTGTTAAAAAACAAAACATTTCTGCAGCCAAACATTTCACAGTGCAATATAATCCATTTAAATATTGAAATGTAACATTAAACATTTAATACAGTCATACTGAGGCATTTGATTTGAATTAATGGGTCAAGATTTAAAAAAGAACTTTAGAAAAAATGATTACAAAATAATTTAATTCAATTAAAATAAAAAAACGTAAATTAAAATTAAGATATTTAAATTAAATAAAATGTTCACCATTATAACCATCATTTTTACTTGTGGCTGCCCCACCCACTTTTGTCTATGATGAAATTATAAATTGTAAAATAAGATAACAAACATTTTAAAGTCCAAAATCAAGCTTAGATAATTTCAGTATTTCAATTTTTTATTTAAATATGACTGTGAAATAAATGCCAGCTGTTATTATTGACTGGCAGATAAGAAACAGACTCTTGGCTGAAATTATATTAAAAGGTAATAAGTGACTTTTAAGTTCCTCTTAAATCTAATACGGTGTAAATGTTTAACAGGAAAAACTGCTCACACACACTTCATTAAGACTTCAGCCTTTTGTCTTACCCTGCCAAGACGCAGATGATGACAGTGCAGCCCACCAGGAAGGGAGCCAGCGGGGTCTTTGTCTTCTTGTTGACGGCCACCAGCAGCACCACCATGGTGACCAGGCAGGTCATGGCCACCTCCCCGAAGATAGCCCCAGATAGCTGGCTCTCTGACTTGAGGATATCAAACGCTGCCCCTGTGGCATTGTGGTAGCGGTCTGCAGGGGTCATCATCTGTAAGATATATGGTCAATAATGAACATTGTTGTCTTCATAAGGAATGTATGGTCACATTTAATTACATTTTATATGTTCAAGTGTTTATAAAAGAGTAAAGAAATGCATCCTCTCAGAATATTGTGCACTGTGACTTTTATTATGTCAGATTATGGTTAGATGACCTTGGACATTCCAGCTCCGACCACTCCTCCAATCAGTTGGCAGGCGAGATATGGCCCCACCATCATCAGCTCCATACCTCCGCACAGGTAGATGGCAATTGTGAAGGGAGGGTTGAAGTGGGAGCCACTGGACAGAGGGAAAGAAACAGTAAAGAAAAGGCGGTGGAGCAAATTGGAATCAAGACGAGATCAAACAAACTGCAGGAGACCCAAATATATGAATCTGCAAAACACACAGCAAAGAAACTGTACATTGAACAAAGGTCTTTACCTGATGTTGTCCATGACCGCGACCATCACAGCCACAGCCAGTCCATGCACCAGAGCCGGCTGCAGGCGTCCGGCCGATGGAACGTTCTCGATGACGGACACACAGCCGATGAAAACAAAGAACATGGTCCCCACAATCTCGGCCAGGCAGGGCTGGAACAGTTTCTCATACTTGTTAGGAGGAGGGGGCGCCAGCTTCTTCTGGCCCTTCTCCATGAGAGTGGAGTCAACATCTTCCATTTCCATTTTCTCGACTCCCATGTTTGTTCTTCTCCTTGCTTGATTCCTGTTACTTCTGTTTCAGATAAAGATCTAGCACAGAGATGTTGCTGCCTCAGCCTGCCTGTGCGTCCTCCTCCACGTAGACCCGACCCAGTCTGCAGACTAAGTAGAGGGAACTGCAAGGTGTTGTACTTATTTATACTCATCACTGGCAGCTGACAGGCTGTGCAGTGGAATTGCATCACGGGTAATAAAAAAAGAAAAAAGAAAACCCTGAAGTTCTTTGACACCGTGTCAGAGCAGATGAGGTCACAGCTGGTTCAGAAGCTCGGCCCTCGAGTCCTCAGAGTAACCTTTAGTAGAAGAGGGGATAAGGTTCAAGGAGATGTGAGTGGTTCAAGGTTGCCCGCAGCCTGATGATAGTTTTATTTATCATCATCATTGTTTTATTTGGATGCGCAGGCATGCCTGGAGAAACAGGTAGTGGCCTACAGAGATAAGACCAGACCTTGACCATAGACTTTACACAACCTCACCCTCTGCAGACTTGTGACACTACATTACAACTACTACAGTACTACACAATGTTCATCAGATTTGATGCTCAAAGTACCTCAAGTAGCACTTTTTGCAGGATTATACTGAAGTAGGATTTTGAGATACTGGTACTTTACTTGCATTTTTGTATTTTATGCAGCTCGACATTTGTCTTCTAGTATTCAGAGGGAAATATTGTGTTACTTTACATTTATTTAACAGTTATTTCTACTGTGTAGATTAAAATTCTATATTAAAAACTATATAAGATACAAGACATTGCTTAATATTTCCCTAGTGGTCCTCAGTTTATTTGGTTTGTGGCCCCTTGTGGAAAAAGTAAGGACTTCAACATATGTTGTGGTACAACATAAAAAACAACATGTGATAACACGAGACAATAAATAAAATATATACAATAAAGGTGACCAAAGTGCAGACTGCATGATTGGAGTGAAGGAGCTGCCGTGACCCGGATTTGAACCGGGGTTGCTGCGGCCACAACGCAGAGTACTAACCACTATACGATCACGGCCACTCCTCATTATATTCCTGATGATTTATCCTCACACAACCCTGGTCGCACTTTGAAAACCTCAGGAAAGAGAGCAGCCTGAGCCAGTAGCTAGTCATACTTCTCTCATTCCTTGATTTTATCTAATTATAGTTTTTGTTATTGTAAAGGGTGGTCATTTTTAAAGTTCTGTCACTAGGAGCGGTCAGTTGGAGGAAGCACAAGACTGGGAAATGATGGTGGACGTTGGCCAGCGGCTTACAGTCCCATCACATATTGTCACTACCACCCTAAGACCAGACCTGATACTCTGGATACTCCTACACCCTGCATCCTGTGAGGAGAAAGCTGTGGTATGCATCCATGGCATTTGGGGCAGAGCAACATGGCTGTAAAGCAATAGTTTGCTCTGTGGAGGGGTTTCCTTGCAACATCCACCATCAGGTTGCTCTAAGATCTGGGGATCCACGGACAAGCCCTGCGCCAGACAATAAAAGAAACATCACACACTGCAGAACTCTGCAGTCAATGGCGCTGGATCAGGAGGAAAGATCCCAACTGGGCCCCAAGTGCACAACTGAAGTTATGTCCCCAACTGGTGGCCGCTAACACCATTCATCCCTCTGGAGGCGTGGGACCAAACATATTGATTTATATTCTATTCTGTTAATTTGTCACCCATCTGTTTTTAAATATGTAGTAGTTGCAGTAGTTTTATAAGCTGTAATCTGATTTCATCCACTGCTGCACAGCCTTCACCACGTGTACCAAAACCATGTAACATGCACTCTCTCTGCACTAGATGGATAAGTTGGCATGGCCCGACAATGCTGATGATTCTCTATCTTTACATATTGCAGCATGAATACTGTACGCATAGTATTGAAATCCCTCAGTTTTCCAGCATCTCACTTTAACTCATTGCTGTGTTTCAGTTGAGTGAAGGACACTGCTTTATGATTCTAATCTAACTTTACTGTATAGGGTAGTGCCCTGTCCTTAATCCACCTTAGATGTACCACAGCTATGAAAGCATAGTTTTCCATCCAGGACTTTGAGCCAAACAATGAGTACAAGAAGACTGTTAATAGATAACCAAAAAGTGTGATCTATGGGTTTAATTCTATATATGGACGTTATTATCAAACATCTGGACCTGTTCCAGTCGTCACACATGCACAAGTCCAAGTTAGCTGGAGTGATATCAGGACACTGTTGCATCATCAAACACTTTATTTAATCTTCAAATGCAGCCATGTGATTGTGTAAGAGCCAGCAGTTGGAGCGGCTCACAGTTTAAATACAATATTAATACACGTGACAAATTTAAATATTACAGTCTAATGGTTACAGAAATGTGTTGGAGAAGTCACTGGGAAATCGGGACGTCTTATTTGTTCACTTCAGCATAACACGAGTCCTCTGGTCGCCAAAGAACAACCTGCAGAAAGAGGGATACTTCCATTACTGTGCAGGAGTCAATATCATGTTAAGATCATGAACTAATGACCGGCCAGACACAGGCCCAAGGAGCCAAGAGGATATTATCAGCTGGAACGGCAAACTGATTACACCAGGCTGTGAGAGTTCTGCATACTATCATGGAAATACAGTTTAACAGTTTACTATTACCCATAAACCCTCAACTGAAATGACTAAACCTAACCGTCAGCGAGATAACTTAACACTCCCACACCATAACTCTATCTTTGAAGTAACCTCCTTCGGTATATTTTGAAAGTCCAAATTTCTGATCCTGCATTGTTTCTAAACCACTCATTAGAAACCACTAATCTAAATTTAGCAGACACAATTAATGGTGTATTAGACTGCTGCAATAGGGAATAAGCCACACCCTGCCAATACTTTTACTTTTAATAGTTTACATAATCAAGTACCTACATCCTTTTGGCCAAGTAGAAAAATTAAAGTGTACTTGTATATATGTTAATCTGTTAGTTGTACTTTTACTTTAAAATATTTGAATATTTCCATACTACTGACATTTTGAAAACAATATGGAAACCAACTCTTATTCTGTAGCAATGGGTCAAAATCTTTCTTTCTTTCTGTTAATGGTGAACCAATTTTTTTATTGTACAAATAAAAATCAGAAAGCCTGTCAAATATTAACAGTGAGAAATGAGTGGGCAAGAATAATGAAACTGAATTCATTCTCTCACCTGATGAAGGTGACAGTGAGCAGTGCACCACACATGGGTCCGACCCAGTAGATCCAGTGATGGTCCCACTGATGGGCAGCCACTGCAGGACCGAAGGCTCGTGCGGGGTTCATACAGCCTCCGGACAGCATCCCTCTGAAACAACAGACAGTGACAACACTGAAACACAGCTCAACACTGGGCTTCTCATTTCACATGGAGTAGTTACAGTCTCACTAAAAACAAGGTTTACATTTGGAGGGACTATGATGTAGATGAGCTCAACCTCTGCTGCTTCACTTCTGACCACTCTGTCTTAAATCTGAATCTCATGAGAGAAATACTTTAATACACATGTATCACATAAAGTTAACTTTTACATCTGGTGGCAATTCACAGTTTGGTTAGATCTTATTTTATAGATATATAGATAAATCTAAAGTACTATAGTATATAGTATATAAGTAGTATAAATACTTTGAACAAATAAACGTACCTCTTATCTAAGTTAATCATTACAGGCTAAAGAAAAAGATGTAATGGAAATAAAAAAGCGAAGACAGGACATAAGAGAGGAAAGGAAATGGTAAATGGTTTGTATTTATATAGCGCTTTTCTAGTCTTGAAAAGAAAATGAGAAAGGAGAAAATAGAAAAGCAAAGAAAAATGAAAAAGACAGGAAAGGAAAGCAAAAAAAGGAGAAAAAAAGAAAAAAAAAGAAAAAAAAGAAAAAAGACAGGAAAGGAAAGAAGAATATAAGAAAAAAAAAAGAGTGGACATAAATTCATAAAGCAGTGACAAAGAGCTCCGCCTGCTGACACATTATTGCATCACTAATCTAATAATCAAAATACGTTAATATTACACTCAGAGTCTTGTTGGATCAAATGGAAACACAATCAAGCATTGCTGTAATATTACATATACAGATATTAAACATTAAACTGGTTGTCAAGGTAATAACAGTGAATAAATAAGCAATAAAATAATAAAAGTGATAATAAATACATGTGTCGAGGTAGACTGTGGTCAGTGCTGCAGCTGACCCTCTGGACCGCAGCTCTTACCCTGCTATTATGTTAGCCGTCACCGTGAGGCCGATGCAGAATGGAGCCGACGGTGAGCGGGTCTGACGGTTGACGGCGCCCAAGCACACCACGGTGGTGAGGATCAGTGTCAGCATCATCTCTGCCATCGTGGCTTTACCCAGGTCGCTGGTGCTGGGCTGAAGGGCTCCTCCGAGGGCAGAGTCGTACAAGTTGGTCGGGTACATGACCTGAAAGAAGAGCAAACATCAATCAACAGTTTTCATTTATTTTCTAATATTCAACTTAAAATCACAAAAAACAACATTTTGACTACGGAGATTAACATGCAAAGTCTTTAACTTTTTTTTTTTGTGCAGAAATGAGCTTCTATACGTTTTCGTACCTTGGCCAAAGCAGCACCGATCATCCCTCCTACAGTCTGAGCTGTGATGTAAGGCACCATCAGGAGCAGCTCCATCCCTCCACAAAGGAATACGCTCAGAGACACTGCAGGGTTAAAGTGGCCCCCACTACGATAAACACAATGAACTTTATGTGACTCTGTCAGAACGACTATTACACAACAAATGATTCTCTTTTAAACAACTTGGTGGTATCAAATGTAGTGCTTTAGTGAAAGGACCTTTTAGAAACTTCTGCTCAGCTCTGGCAGTTTGCATGATGCTGTTTACATCACAGTATGTGAACGTGTTAAAGCTAATTCACTTTATATCCAGATTTAAAACCATCTAACTTATGTCATCTTTTACTCCACATGTGATTTGGGGAGGAAATCCAAAATATACATTTAAAAAGAACACAGAACATCACCTTTAAAACACAACATCATTCTTTACCTTATTTGCCCTAACACCATGATGAGCGTGCCCAGTGTCAGTCCGTGTGCCAGAGCCGGCTGGAGGACGCCGCCTGCTCCCACGTTCCCGATGACAGACGCACATCCCACGAACACGAACAGGCTGGTCCCGAACAGCTCGGCCAGGCAGGGCTGAACATACCTCTCATACATGCACCTCTTCTTGTTGTTGCTGCCGCTCTCCACCTCCTCCTCTCCCACGTCAGCCACTGTGAACACCTCTGTGTTGGTTTTGGACCCTGACATGATCGCTTCCTCTCGCTGGACCCTCTCTGGTGTCTGCTGGGTGGTCTGATGGAAGTTATATATGTTTATGAGCTATTGTAGGGATGATGCATACATACGCACATCCATCATTTTTTTTCACCCCATCTTCCTGCAATTGTTTATACACCCACAACTGTTGGCCCTCAGTCAAGAGAAGCTCATAAAATTATTAGCACTTTTGTTACTGGATGTCAGAGAGCACACAGGCAGATAATGAGATAAGGGGTGACACTCTGTTTTGTTTAGCTGACACCACAGATGCTTTCTATCAGGACTTCTGACTCCTGAAGAGAGTGAAAACTTTTTCTTTATGTCAAAGGTGAGAGTCATGGAAGCTCGAGAGAAGAAAGTCAGTTCATATATATATTTATTTATCTTCCTCAAACTGTATTTTCTCTGCAAAATAGTTATTTCTTTTCAATCTTTTTATCTTGTCTTATCTTCATGTCAAGGAGAGTCGAACTGTGTACGGTTGATACATGTGACAAATTCAAATTTGATTTGACTTTTGTTTTTTTTATCATCTGTGGGTTCATCATTTTATGAACGAGTCCTGTCACATCCACATTTCCTTATCTGTTGTTATGTAAAGATCCAGAATGCTTTGGCTGTAATCAGGGCTTTAGTCTTTCATATTGGACATGTTTTTATTTTTATATAAATTTAAATTTAAAGTTTTTTTTCATTCATTGCTTTTTTTAACTTTTGGTTCCTTTGCTTTTAATTTGATTTATTTTCCCTTTATTTTTATTATTTGTTGACCCAAAATGTGTTAAAAATGTTGAAAACCTACTTGGAAATGAAAACAATTCAGATTGTTGCTGTCTGCTGACAGATATTGAGTAACAAACAAAGATATTCCTCCAATAAGCTTGTTCCTAACTAGCTCAACTAATATATGTGATAACTAGCTGATATATATACTGTTTGCCAATAAAGTCGAAAGCTGGCTCTTCTTTTCGCCCATTTCTGTGTGTTTCTGTGTTTCTGTGTGTGTGTGTGCAAAATAAGTAGACGATGCTCACCAGACCTGGGTTGGAGGGAGGTTATCTGTAGGTGATTAATGTAGGGAACTGATCGGTCAAAGGTCAAAATCAAGGTCCAGAAAACTATGGTATAAAAAATACTATTCCGAGAAATACCCACAAACATCAGAGACAATCTTAACCTAAAACTGATTTGATTCCAAAGTATCTCTACAGTTTATAGGATTATAGACGTGATCTATGGATCAGAAAAATCTTTTTATAACCATATGGCAGGATTAACATAAGCATGATGTCACTATGAAGTCTTAAGTGATGTCAAATATTTTAGTAATGCATTAACTTTTGATCAATAACATTACAGACACATTCTACAGGTTATTTAGATTAACTGATTAATTTATTAATCATCACCATGATTATTAATTATTAGATTATTACAGGGCCACTCCCACTCCTGTCCTAGCTGCTTATTTCATTTTCCTCGATTAGGAATTATCCGTTGTATGATTCGACATTATTACAATTTCATTGGCTGTACACAAAGTATACATGACCCCTCCGATAATTTGATATGAAGTGCATTAAGTACATAAATGAACGGGGCAATGCAGTCTTACACAAATGGAGGTTTTTATTGAACTGCACTTGAACACCTTTTGTCAAATATACTCTGTTACAAACTACTGTCATGTCCTCTTTGCCATTTGAAAAGTATCGGGGCGAGAAAAGAAAAGATTGAACAGACAAATGCAATGTAACCGGTGGTTGCATGTGATTCATTTCTTGAGCTCTACTTATTGCATGCGTCTAAATAAATGAGTCTGGAAGTACGACTGATCAATAAATTAAAATAAAATGGCACATATACAAGATTCAGATGAGGACAAACGCATGATATGTGAAATCCTCAATGTTTCGTACATTCTTTAATATCCACCACAGGAGAGCATTTACGATGGATTGTGGATTTAGAGACAATGTTTTTGCCTGTGAGCGAATTAATCACACATGATTCATACTTCGCTTCAGTTCCAGTGTAGTGACAAACACCTCTTCAACTCATCACCTTCAACACGGACCTGGTCTCAAATGACACTCATGCAATGACATTCCGCTGATGCCGGGACTTTTTTCGAACCAGCTCCCAGACGACAGAGAATGTGGGTTTCCTCTTTCCCAACATCTTGTTTTACGCATTTTCTCCTGTTGTTGCTTTTGGCAAATGCGCACGTCCGAACAATGGAGAAGTTTCACTCTCAGAACGCCAACTGCGACAGACCTGAGGAAGCAGAGCATGACCCCTGTTCTTGTAAATGACCACACCAGAACATTCAAACTGGACACACGGGTGGAACGATATAAAATATTAACACTTAGGTAACGCAAAGTAAATAAACTGACAGCGAACGTGGCGCCGCAGTGGTGAAATCATCAGAGAGCGGCCAAAGATCAGATTTATTACAACAGCGTACAGTTCACATACACAACTGTTTGTAGTCCGGGTTATAACTATAATCTAAACCTTTTATTCTTATTTAAACTCTCTATCGTGTACTATTTTGGGGTTGGACCAGGTTGGGAAGCTGCGACTTCTACTAAAGATGTAAAAGTAAATGTAAAATATTTAACTTTGGCCACTAGGAGTCTTTACCACCATTACAGATGGTGTGGCACAAATCATGTTCACAGGTAATTTTTATTCATGTTACGCACCATACAGCGATGAATAATCGGGATCCATTATGAGTGATGAATACCAAAAGTGGAAGGAAGAAACAGCCGAAGGGCTAACTGGCTAGCTGTGTGTTTTTCCTTCATATTTTATACACTTTGCTTTAGAATTCCCTGATGTACATACGACTTATGTAATTGAAAAAAGAGAAATTATTACCCAGGTTGAGTTTGTCCTTGATGGCCCAGCAGATGCTGTAGTGTTGAAGAAGCTGTTGCAGCAGCTCTTTTTCATCCAGGAACTCCAGTCGCTCAATTCTGCAGGAAATGAAAAAAATTAATTAAGTTGACTTTCATATTAGACGACACACAAACACATAATGTTCACCAGTGTCTGGTTCCATCATGACACCATGAGGGTTTTTTTGTCATCTAACACTGCAGTCCCTACAAATGGGGTTAATGGTGAACTGAACCTTGACGGAAACAGTTTGATGTGAAGTCTGCACTACCTCGCCACGTCGTCCTGAGGGAGTATACCGTAGATGGTCATCATGTCCAGAGCGTCTGCCTGCTCCCAGCCCGTCTTCAGAAAACGCTCCCTCTGCAAACAGCACACATCAACATTACAATATAGGAATATTCTGACACAGAGCCACTGATTTATTCACCTGATCCAAAGAAACCATCAAATCCCCCTTGTATTTTAGACTTGACTTCAGACTAGACTTGCACATTAAACAGTTGACTTAGTCGTGAATATATTTAAGTGTGTGGATCCACGAAACCACCGGGTTTTCTTCAATTAAAATGTTTAGTTGTACGATTTACCTGAGAGTCCAACGATTGACAGGCCTCTGCTCCAGCGAGGCTGCACTGGCGGCGCTGCAGGTTCTCGATCATCACCTGACCGAACCGATCACTCATGTTCACCTGGATACACAGAAAATAGTGAGCGCCGAGAAACACTACAACATTAAATCTCATCTCCAACACATGCAATACTTTTATCTACAAAAATATCTCCCATGTCCATATGATGATTATTTATATTTTATCACTACATGATCATTCTCTAAGTTGTGTTATGGATAAGTAAAGTCTTCCCCCTCCTGTATTGGGCTGTGGTGGTTGTTCTGTTCACCTGTTCATAGTTGATGAACATGGCCGTGTGGAATGTCTCTGCTGCCCAGTGAAGCAGGTTGGAGGACTGAGAAGGCGTCATGTAAACCAGCACACACTCTGACAGGAACAATGTTGGTAGTCTGGAGAAGGAAATGTCACATAAATAAAATATAAGCACAACATTACCATTGCTAGAAGAAAGCCCCAAGAGACCAAACCTCTACCAAGCAAAAACAATACTCGTGGATACATAAGTTTTCCTTCCCAATATCAATTCCAATTTGCGGACTTTCTGTCCCACTCCATATATTAAAACTACAAAATATTCACATTGTCTCTTCGGTTTTCAGTGTTGAAAGAAAAGTTCACACGACAGTTTCCTGAAACCTTGTCCTTCACATATAACTCAATTGACACAAGTTACAATTGATTCAAATAGTGACAAGAATAGATCAAATGCAGAAACTTTAAAAACAACGCTCGTGTTATCTCAAGTTACTTACAGCGAGAAAACACAGGGATAAGCTGTAATTGACCTTATCTTAACTTCTTTAAAGCCAACTCATTTGTTTAGTTGTTTTTTATTTGAGAGGAGCGATGTCTGTCACGTACTCTGGGTTAAGCTGGAACTTCTTCAGTTTTTCATCCATGTTGGAGATGTCTCTGAGGTCTGCTCCGATGATGCAGTAACGGTCTGAGTCAAGGCTGTGGGAATCTGAACAAACAAACACAAACATTTAGAGAGATTCTCCAGCATGGACTATTCAGAGCCAAACCACACTGTAGGTATGTGAAGTCTATGAGGGACTGGAACCGTTGTTGTACCTAGTAGTAAGGAGTCTGTTGAGTGGGTTTCGATGATGGGTTTGGACAGGGGTGGTTTTGTCCTAATCAAACAAAACAACATGATATTTAATAAAATTCACATTTAATACTGTATATCATCAATAAACCTAAAGCTACACTACAGCCAGGACTTTTACATGCAAACCAGTAAACATCTTCTGTCCTGCATCGTGTTTATATAGAGATTATATTCACTTTGTAGGCTTAGGTAAAACACTAAGCCATTACTTTCCCAAGGGTCAAAATATTAGGTTTGTGCTGTGTCAGTTGCAGAGAAGAGATAATTCAACTTTGTGGTAATTTCTTGAATTTTATTGTGAGTTGTTTTTAATGTTTTCTCCATCACAGTTATATCAAGGACGGTAGAACCAACTTTCAGTATAACACAATACAATTCATCAACACTTCAACCTACAGCATACCAAACAACTTGACCTAATAATCTTCAAAAGCTTTTACACAGAGCTCATGGAAAATCTAAATCAATTCAATTTAGTTCTCCAATAATATTTTTAATAAATGTACTTACTGCTGTAAATAAAACATCTGTGTGCAAACTATGCATACATACAACTTATCAATAATAGTAATTAATACATAATAGACATAACTAAAGCTCTCTTTGTCTCCCCCTGCTGATCTCTACCCAACACCACAATGCCAAAGCCTGAGAGGGCTGAGAAGACATTGGTTCAACTTAATGTCCTGCTGTATGACAATAGTTAAATATTAATCGTGTCTATTAATCATGCAGCATAAATGGTTCTCATTATTGTGCAAATGCAGTGGCCCATATATGGCTACATTCATGCTACTACATTTTTATTTGAAAATGGCATTTTCAAACTAGAACAGCCTCTATCCATACAAGCATTTTGTCTCCCAATTAATTTTAATCCTCACCCATACTAACATGCCTTAAAAAAGGCATATCAAGTTTAAACTCACATGCACTTGGGATGCGTGTGCCAGACCCTGACTAAACAGCGATCGAAAAGACCCAACTGATGTCTGTGTCAACTCTTACAAACATTTCCACTTTTGCCCATCAAGACTAGAACACAACCCCCGAGTTTCTATGTTTTAGTGTCTAAAACTCCGGAGTAGTGTAGATGTCGGGTGTATCACTAGTAGAGTTAAAAGCACTTTAAAATGAAAACGTAGTAGTGAGGGTGTGGCCTGAACCTGCAAATCTATCTGGATTTTCTGTAGTGAGGTGGAAATCTGTGGCTGTCCTGGATCATGTGTGTCAAATTATTAAAAAGACAATTTGTCTTACTTTATGTTGTGTATTTTCCTGGCCACGATCGTGGGAAAGTCAACTTCAAAGAACTTCCGTGGCATGAGGTTTTCATCCTGTAACACACACGTACACTTTGTGATTTTTTTGAGAATATATTGATTGTATTTTGATGCAGCTGAACTTTCATGTCAGAGAGTCTGTGCTGCTGTGATTCTGAAAACCTTTAGTCTCCAAAATGTGGTGTCCAGTCCGGCTCCCAGGTTGACTACCTGACAGTCACACTCTGCTTTCCTTATAAACGCATCGAGGAGGTGGTTCACCCCTTGAACGCGGGCATAGTAACCTGTCAGATCAGATAAGTGGAGGGTAAGATAAACTAATAAAACACATTCCTATAAAAAATATGTCCCTCAAGCAAGTTGTGCAATGTAGCATTTAAAATTCACAAGTATGGAGAATTTACCGCTGACAACTTCTCAGTAAAAGACAGTTAAAATGTATATTACACCATATTTGCTCCACTACAGACACAACACACTTTTGTTTAAGAGTATATTGCTTTTGAAGCTCTTGTTACAGACCAGCATCATAACCCTGCTGGGCTGTAGCCAGGTTAAATAACAACAGATCCTGTGACTTAAACTCTGGCTTTACACTATGATCGATTGAAGCAGATATGAGAAGTTTAGTATAACTAACCTCTGTTGATTTCAGGGGCCTTTCTCTCTCCGACAGATCTCACAAAGTATTGAATGTATGGGTCCTTCCAGTAGTTTTTACTGGTAGCAAACCTAGAAGACAGATTATACAGTCCTTTTCAAATCCTCACACTTTTGGGGCCAAACTGTCACAGATTCTTTTATTACGACATTTTTCTTGATGATTTGTGAAACCCATGAATCCTGTGACTTTGACTGGCCCGATCTCCCCTAATATAGGACACAGAGAAATGGTTAAGACGGATGGATGGGTGGATAGATAGGTGACATAGACTTATATTTATCTATCTGAACACAATTAGTTCCTTTTACACTTTGTTTTTTGTCACAGTGTTCATGCTGATTGTTATATCTCATTTATTTGCTATTTTGCGTTTCTGTCAAAGCGTTTTGTAAACTTTAAATAAAGTGTATTATTGTTATATGATTATATTATTAGTTAAACATTGATACACTTTGCCATTATGTTACAAACTGTTTCTTCTGATCAATGAGGTAAATACTGTTATTTTGTTGATGTTCTCAGTTACACAAGGAATCTATTGCACTTCTGTCTGTCCTGGGAGAGGGATCCCTCACATGTGGCTCTTTCTAGTTTTACTCTTGTTGAGGGTTAAGGACAGACGATGTCGCACCTTAAGCTTTAAGACACAAACTGTGATTTGTAAATATGGGCTATACAGATCATACTTGATTAATTGACTGATTTGATAGTTGACTATATAATTATAGTTGCCCGATTTGTGTTTTTACTTAATATGGACAATCAAGATGTCAATTTAAACGTATTTACAGATAAACAGGTCACTAATCAAGGTCCGAGATGAACAAGTATGGGTGATCAGCACACACGCCAACCTCTAGATGACAACACAGGGGCGGATTCACTCAGAGCAATAGAAATAACAAATCACTGTCTGCAACTACTGCACACACGTGTTACCTTTTGCATGTGGTTGCATCGTCGCACGTCGACCTCACCGCTTCATCCGCAGTGTCCGAGTCCGCGAAGGGTCGTCGGGCTGCCATCACTGAGTCCCAGGTCCTCAACGCTGTGTGGTCAACATTAAAAGAACAGGCGCACGACCTCGTCCGCCTGTTTCACTCTTCCCCCGGGCGCTAAGCTAGCCGGCTAGCTGGATTTTAGTTTAACTGTTTATTTGAACAACAACGAGAAACAGGGAGTCAGAGTTAGAGCTTGGTGGAGGAGTTCAGCTCCGTGTGAACGGTAAACGAAGCAGGAGTCGGGTGAAAGCAAACAGGAAATACACAAAGCGCTGGTTATAATGTTCTGGCTAAAAACAAGACGATCGGATCTGGGTTTGTGTTGACAGCTCTGCGCCGGAAGTGAACACTCAGTACTTCCGGGTCGTTTTGTTTCTAGATTAAAATTCCTTTTCGTTTTACTCACGAGTAATGAGGGTGCGCCACATAATCTCGGATAAAAATATATGTAATAAAAATAAATACAATTCAAATCAAACATTTTTCAAGATCTTCTTAGATCAAGATACTGTGTACAACTAGGGAACATGTGCAGCTACAACACACATGCAACTAACATGTAAAAAGGGATGACACAATGGAATTAATCTGAAATAAAATAAATAGAAATAATACAAAGGTTAAAACTTCATTAATGAATTAACTTGTTTGCTGAACCATATTCTTCTATAATGTAGAATAATTCCATTGCATTTTTCTTTTTCGTGGGTTTAAGGGCTTTTCTGAGGCTTCGGTGAGTTTGAGGTTATTGTATTTACATAGGTGTCATCCAGAGGTGGTGAGTAACTCCTCACACTTACTGTGTTACATGAGTAGTTTCGTATGAGATACTTTTTTACTCTTACTGAAGTACTTTTACTTCTAACTAAGTAATTATAATTTAAAGTAGCAATACTTTTACTTGAGTACTGTTTCTATTTAGTCACTTTACCCACCACTGGTAATATCCACTAGATGATCATCTTTTAGTTCACTGAGAAATTAATCCCATGCACAGATTGAATTTTTTACCTAAACAATTACTGTCATCGAACCTGCCAAAGTATGTTTTACTTGCTGGAAACATAGTTAGTCTCACTTTGTGAGAACAAGCATCAATGTTGATGTACTGTCAACAAAAACATGTGATTTCAGCTGCAGAAGAACTAACAGCATGAAATTGTACAGACTTTCTCTGAAGTTGAAGTCTGAATAGGGCTTATGTCACCAACAAAGTAAATTACCACATGTGGCTGCAGGGGACGCTGTTGCTCATTAAAAGTTACATAGTGTTGCTTTAATTCAGTCAATGTCATTACAATAACATGTTTTAGTCTGCTCATGATATGACTGTTGTAGATGCTCATGTAATAGTTTTGATTATATTATGGCACCAACAGAATGAATCACCACGTGTGGCTGCAGAGGGTTACTTTAATCCAAACATTTGTTTTAAAGGGATAGTTCACCCCAAAATTGGAATTCACTCATGATCTACTCACCACTATGATGACAGAGGGGTGGGTGAAGTGTTTGAGTCCACAAAACACTTAAATCGAAGTAACTGGTTTTGAAGTTACCACTTCTTCAGGCTGAAAAAAAACATAAAATGCCTCCATACTGCTCCTGTGGTCTCATCCAAGTGTCCATAAACCCTGACTTGACTTGAAACGACATCATTTACATCGTGTTTTTAGCCTAAATGTCAGATCACAGCAGAAGTTTAGGCTTAACACATGGTGTGAATGACGCTACACCACAGGAGCAGTATGAAGACATTTTAAGTTTTTTTCTGTGGATTTTTTTTTACGTTTGAAGAACTGGTCAACATTTACTTTAACTGTATTGTATTCAGCTGCAACACTGTTTACCCCTGAAACTCCAAAAGGGTTTTCTGGCCTCAAACACTTCACCCACCCCTCCATCTGCATAGAGGTGAGCAGATAATGAGTTCATTGTCATTTGGGGGTGAACTATCCCTTTAATCTGCTCATGGCCTGATTCTCATATCATAGGTTTGATGTGAAAAAAACTTTTAGTACAATGATGAGAGCAGTAGTTTGAGTATTTTAGGGCAGTTTTCGAACAGTTGTAAAGTGTGTTTCCCCGCAGCACAGAGCTCCATGCGTCGGTGTGCTCCTCCGGGCAGTGTCCAGGGGGAGGTGGTGCTCTGTGGCGGACATGCAGCGGTGCTCCAACGCTATTTCCTGCCCCCTCCCTCCCCCTGTGTGCTGGCAGAGGCGGAGGTGAGTCGCCGCTGTTCGCTCGGCTCCCTGCTCCGCGCTGGGGAGACAGAAAAAAGCGGCCGACGGATTAAACACAGCGTTAGCTCGCCCGGCTAACGGTCAGCGCAGCAGCCGAGAAACAGCCATGAGAAGCCGCCTGGAGCTGGTGAAAGTTACTCCGGGACATTAGCGGAGTGGAAGAACGAGGTTCGCGGGGTCATGCCTTCTCCACCAGCGGGGACTTTCAACTAGTGTTTCCACTCGTGGGGTGGGGGGGTGGGGGGTTAAGCTTTAGCTCCAGTGGCTAGCGAGGTTGCTACGAACTATTTTTAATTGGCTCCGGGCTGCTCCATGGCTCCCGCTGCTTTCTCCCTGTCATAGCGGCGGCGGCGGCGAGGGAGGGGGAAAGTGCACACGGGGAAGAGGCAACCCACCCCCGGGGAACTTCATGAGCCGGGCTTCGACGCGTTTCTTCGGGGAGAAGACGAGGCTGGCAACGGTGCGAAGATGAAGAAGCAGTTCAATCGGATGAAGCAGCTCGCGAATCAAACAGTTGGCAGGCGAGTATGGAAGTTGTTCTGGTCAAACACACTTTTCTCTGCGTGTTTCTCTGCAGCTCAACAGTGACTTCAGTGGATTCTCCCCTTTAACTTGTTTTCTTGCTGTTAAAGCTCTTTTTTAAAAACATCAGTGACCACAAACTATCCCATGAGCAGACTGTTGACATGGGAAAGAGTCACTTGCTTTCAATATGACGTGACGCTGTTAGTGTAAATGGGGGACAGTGTAAAATACTGTCCATCGATGTGTGCAAGCCTCCACACTGCTGTCTCTCCCCCATAGACTGAACACACACACAGGTCTAACCCCAACCAGATGTCCCTGTGTGGAGAATGAATCAGCCTTCTACACTGTGTTCACACTGTCTGATGAAAACACCAGTCAGAAGTCCATGATGTTGCATTTGTCAGGACATCTTGGAAGTGGATATACTGCAGATCAGTTTTCTTTATCCCTACAAGATAGAGCATGTTTTGGGGACCCCTCATTTGTGCCCCTTGGAATAGTTTGACACGGCCTATTTGCACTCTTAGCTATGTCAACGACAACAACACTAATGGTGAATATGTCTGCATTCGTGCAGCACTTTTCTAGTCTTGATGATCCCTCACACACACATTCATACAGTGCTTCATTGTGCAGCATCTCTGTCACTCACACACACTGCCGACACAGACGTCAGGGGCAATTTGAGGGTTTCGGTGTCTTGCCCAGCCGGAGACTCGAATCGGACCACCGTCCTTCTTGTCAGTGGAAGACCCACTCGTCCTCCTGAGCCACTGCCACCTCACAAGAAAAATTTCTTGGCAAGATATTAGATTACCCATTTATCGTGATAATGTTACTGAATGAATCTGGAAGCTTTCACAGATCCCCTGACAGTGTTGATGATTGACATTCCCCCCCACCATAATCAACAAATCATGCTTCTTTTGTGTGCAAGAGTCTTGTGTAAATGCAGATGCAGAAGAGTTTAGGATTTCAGATGTGTTGGCTTTAAGATTGAGTTTCTTATCATAATAATAAATGTAAAATGGACATTTATGCTTATTTATTTGCATTAGGCACAAAACATAGAACTCTTTTCCTCAAGAACAGCACAAATCAGCTTTATGTGGAGTTATTCTATCAACGGGTAATAATTTAAGAGGTCTATGAAGGTTTTAAAGCTTTTATCATCAGCTGCTAAATTCATGACAATATGGGGCCAAGCCGTTGTTTCTGTGCCGCAGAGTGAAGTCATCATATTAAAAGGAGAGATGACGAGAAATATGGTGAAGCAGTGGATGAGTTGTTGTATACTATATGATGCTGCAAGATTCACTTTCACTCTGTGGCGATAAAGCGGCAGAAACAGCTTCTCCATTAGTGAAACACTAGACATCCAGCTTCAACCAGACATAAAACTTAAAGCATAAAGAGTAGATTCATGTTTAAGTGATGGAAGTGTCTGACTGCCTCCACTTAAAGCATCTCTCCCTCTGAACCTAAAGCATTCAGCACTAAGTTATGTGGATAATAAAGGGCATATTTCTCCACAATGAGGATGTGTTCTGCTGCATTCATGCCTGTTATCGAGAGCCAATATGCTGTTGTGCAAAACATACGGTGTCCCTGTGTAACTGGATATTACTAAAGTAGCAGTGGCTGCAGCCCAGCCCTGTGAGGACAAGAGAGTGCGACACGTCAGAGGATGTTTTCATCATGGGAGGTTGGCTCTTGTCATGTCTGGCATTGTGAGTGTGTGTGTGTTTGTTTATGTGTTGGTTGTTAACATGTGGGAGTCAACATTGTTGAGCACCTAGCTGGACCGTGGGTGCACACAGAGCTGGGTGGTTCCAGATAATATCGCTGACAGGCTTGGAACAATAATGTTTCATTTTCAAATAACCTCGGGTCTGCAGGGCTGCCGTAATTACATATACATCATAGTTCCAATTTCCCAGCGTGCTCCTCTTAAGGTGCGTCACCAGAGTGCTGGGAGAAAGCCTGCAATGGGTTGACAAGAAAGATTATCCACAACATTCTATGTACACGTGTTAAACATTGTTATAGCCTGGTGCTCAATCTCCTTTCTGGTATAGCACCTGCATGGAGGCTGTCTCATCCTGGAAGACGTTATTGAGCATGTGCAGGGTGACAATAGCAGAGTTGTCTTACATTAATATATTATAATTCCTACATTTACATTAAAATAAAGGTATTTTGAAATGTTGCTATAGATACATTGTAGTGGTGCATTATCAGAGTATTATTTTAATTAAATTAGTTATTATTTTGTAAAAATGTCAAAAACTTGTAAAAATCTATCATACTTGGCAAAGGCCAAAAAATAGACAAAATAAAGATAATCAGATGTCTTGTAATAATGTTTTAAGACACACTGCACCTGGTGCTAAGTGTCTTTGCTTGTTTCACACGATGCAGTTGTTGTTTTCCCATCCAGCGCCCACATTGTTGAAATAGCGAATGCCCGTGCACCCATATGTGCACCCATGGGCGTGTTGGTCTTAAAAGTAGGTTTGGTCAGGCACATTGTTGGCACGTTGCTGTCTTCAGACTGCTTGATTAAGAAATGTGGTCTGAAGTCAGTGGCGCAGTATTTCAATGTTGTTTTAAGGGTACATCATTAAAATACACAGAGGCGGGTGCACCATGAACGTATACACTGCCCCTTCCACGCCCGCTTCACCTCAAGGAGCCTTGGTGGGATCCAGCTGTTGCTGCAGCTGGTTTGCTGGCAGCAATAACTATATGGATGACATGGCAGACAAAACATCTTAATCACCCCCTGGTGGTTAGCTGCAAAATTTAAGCCCCTCCAGCCATTAGCCATTAGAAATTATGTTTGGCCATAGAGCGTTGCAGAAATATACATGTTTTTAAGAAATGCTGGTCTATGATAAGTTTGAATGAACATTAATCATTATTTCTTCAATATTACAGAATATAAGATACATTGACAAGTTTCCGAATATAAAATTCATCACAGGTTGCCAACAGACCAGGGGCAGTTGTTATTAGACTGCAGAGATGCACTACATACAGCAACTGCCATCAGTTTATTTGATGGAAACATTAATCTACAAAGACACTCTGCTGATAATAATGTTCCTATTGGCAGGAATCACGGCCAAGAGAAGCAGGGCAGCTGGAATACTCATAATTTCCTCACTGCACTGTACCAGCAGTAAATTAAGACTGGAGAGAGTGTAATGCAGAAAACAGACGTGTGTGTGTGCGTGCGTGCGTGCTGTAGTTTCCTGCATGTTTGTATGCACATGTAGGGTTAATCCCTCAAGCTCTCGTATACATGCCCTCCTGAATGAGTGACCGCTTGGATCAGGGCAAGCGAGCATACTCTGCTTTGTCCATTAAGATTGTGCCTGCCTGCGTATCCACGTCTGCAAAAAGTTTGTTGTGCAGAAGGCCCTCTCCGCTGCCCCCTGGGTTCCTGCAATTGTATGAAGGTAGAACACTGTGTCCAGCAGGCGACCGCTCTGAGGAAATCTCTCCTCCTTCTTCTACAAACAGGAAACTGCCTCTCACAGATGCGCTACTGCTTTCTAGAGAGTTAGAGAGAGGGAGAGCTGGGAAAATTGACTGAGGTGCAAGGAAAAACAGCATGTGATTCATGCCAGGGGACATGGTTATATATTTATATATAGTGGTTTTTATCTGTTTTTCTTGGGATATTGACATCACCTGTGACTGTTTAGATACGTTTTTCATTCACGTAGTCACATGATCAAGGAATGTGCACGGAGGCTGCTAATGAGGGACGGTTCAAAGGTAAAAGGTTCTGTGGAGTGAAGGAATAGGCCTGAAATCCATGTGACCTAAGACATGAAACTGAACCAGTAAAACGGTATAATCTGAGTCTATTTGGGGCACTGGAGCAGTAGCTTGGTTTATTCTCTCTGCTACTTGCTGCACCAACAGCTCGTAGAAATCACTGTTGTGTGGTTGCAAACATTTCAAGATATTTCAGTGTGACACCTTTTTATATAGTTACAAAAAGTAAAGCATGCAGCCTGGCCCCTAAGTAAGCAATTCCCTTTGGGCATCCCTGATATGTCACATCCCACGTTTGTGTAGTTACTGCATAACTTTGAGTTTATCTGGGTCAGTAAGGTGGTTGTTAAGCTACACCAGATTTACTTCAGTCAGTCGATGATGAGCTTATCACAATTGACTGAATCTTTAAACTACATGAGCTCTGTCCTGTAGCTCAGCGGTGTCAACAAAATCAAACATGGTTAAACATTCACCCCCTGCAAAGTAAGTGTAGTAATGAAGTAACAGAACGCATGAGCTTTTGGCCTTGCTCACGGTTAATCATTCACTGGCATTATATACAGCTGTATTATATGATCCTTTCTCATATCATATTATATACAACAACAATGGCGCTGCTGGCTCAGTTGTATGCAATCTGGTGCAGATCTATTGTACTTGGAAGTCATAGATTCATTTGAAAGGGAGTCAAGTTGAAAAGACACAAAGAACAAATGTCACTGTTGATAAGGTTAGGTGACTCTGGGTGTTTCCTGTGCGTCTAACCAGGCCTGTGCCACAGGGACAATGAGGCGTGTTGCGGTGCTGCTAGTGATAAACTAGGTTAGGTGTGTTTGTTGAAGTAATTTCTGTTGTTGTATAATTTTGATTTGGGAAGACCAAAAAAAGTAAATTGACTTGTTAGGCATGATTAATTTGAAAACATAAGTGTTGTTCTCGTGATATTGAGTAATGCTGGACTTAAATGGAGCAGTGACAACACTTGAGCAAAAGAGATTAGTTCTTTAATCAATGGGTTAATAAGACGGAAATTAACCTGCAACAATTTTGATAATTGATCAAATTATTTGGTAAGTAAATGTTAAATATTTTCAGCAATGAAAAGTTTAAGATGACATTTTCTCTTTCTAACTGATAGTAAAATAATCATCCTTTCAGTACTGAACACTTAAATATTGTACTACTTGGTTATTTGAGTCACAATATTGGGATATGAATATCTGCCAGGAAGGAAGCAACCGTGCCATCACATTGTACAGGTTAGCATCAATCGATAAAAGTCTGTCTTGCCCAGGTCTAATGTTAACACAGCTCAAATAATCGGCCTCATAAGAGAGGGTGTATGGGCTGAGTCACTCAGTTATCCTCCCGGCTCTCTTTTATCTGGCTCCAGTATCCATTACTTTATGCCTTAAGCTGCCAACTGTTGCAGCCAGAGGAGGCCGACCCTCCCTCCTCCCCAGCCTGCTGATTGTGTCGAGTGGTCTGTAACAGCCGCTCTATTGTGCATATAGCTGCAGTATTCGCTTACTGCCCCCCTTCCCCTTTGATAGTAGATCGTCATGGTTACCATTCTGAACTAGTGGGGAGGATCTCTCCCTGTTAAGAAATCACATGCAGCGCACAGTGACACACTTTCCTCCAAAGGCTCCTGCTTCATTAAGGCAGGATGGGGTTAGCTCTATTCACTCCGAGGTCAGCTGATGCAGGCAAAACAATTGTTGTGTTGTTGTTGTTTCTCCTCTGCGCAGCCTGTGCACAGCCTGTTTTGTTCTCCTCTGTGACACTGCTTTTTTAGGTTGGTTTGCACAAGTGTTGCTTTTATAGAGCCCAACAAATCTTAGTGTTCACATGCCCTCTGATCATTCGGTTACTGCCGGGTTAGGGCTGTATTTGCAAATATCTCCCCTTCCTAGGTTTTCTTACTCACATCAGCTGCAGCAAGCAGAGACAATAAATAGAACCGGATCACCCATCAAGCTTTTGTATTTGTACTCTTTGCATGTATACAGTTTAGTCTGGTTTCCTTCGCTGTTTTGAATAGATTCAGCTCATGAGAGGTCATTAAGTGGAGCAGATGTAAAGTGGTGTGTTTGAGTCACCTATGTAGGGGTGGTGGGGGAAAGAAAACAATAGTTATTCTTTTTTGCAGCCGCAGAATACAAGTGTCACACTGCAACATAATCTGCATAAAAAGATAGTTGACATATTCCTGTATGCATGTATCCTGTAGTATATTACAATCCCTCTGGACATTAGGTCAACTTGCAAACACAACTTGTGGAGGAGGTTAAGTTATATTTGCCCAAACAACCTTAATGACCAATGTGCACAGGCGGTGTGTGTGATCTCTAGGCATGTTTTCACGACAGTCTAACTGATGAATAGAGTTCACCTCTACAGTACCACATGAAGAGCTCTTCAGCTTGTAGACTGACACCAGAACACGGATTCCATACTGCGGCTTTATAATCACGTTGTGTATGCATGTGTGTATCTCACTTTTCATAGCTTGCATGCTGGGAGCCTTGTCTGTAGGTTTCTGTGGCTTATTGGATGTGTGACCTCACCATCTTGGCTACGGCTCTCCTCCAGAGAAGCTCTTTCCGTTCATCTCCACTCTCTAGATTATTCTGGCTTGGCACTTTTAGGAGTCTCCAGTCCCCCCCAACCCCAAAATGTCTGTATTTGTATTTCTTTCCTTCTAACCCCCATAAGATCATCGGCTGTCTGTCAGACTCAGTTTCTCCCTGCTCCCTGCCTCTGTGTTATAATTGAAAGCAGCTGTGACAAGGTTACTATAGTTCATAGAAAGCAGCTATTGGAGGAGGGCCCAGCGAGTCACTGTCTACAGGTTCCTTCAGTTATAGGAGTTTACTCTTGGAAAGTTTGTTACGTTGGCTAGACACGCATCAAAAGCAATTTTACCATCATCGTCCTCATATTGGGTGGAAGTAAAGAAACAGAGTTTGAGTCACAGGAAAGTGAAAACATGGAAAAATAGAGTGAACAATGGCAGAAATCTTCTGTACATATAAGGTTTCAGGGACTGAAGTGTTGCAGGACTGTATCCCATTCAATAGCTCAAAGTACTTGTTCACTTCAACTTCATTTAACCAAATCTTAGCCTCATATTTTTGGATAAAGATAAAAGGCCTGTTAAGCATTCCTAAAGCAGAGGATCTCTGTAAAGCTGTTTTCAGACATGCCCTGCTGGAGAATTGAGTCGGGAGTTTACCTAGAGTTTACCTTTCACACATGCACAATTCAGCGGGAGGTTCTCTGCACAGACGCGTTCCTAACAGCAAATCCTCTGCATTATTCAGGTGAGGGGTGGAGCCGCCGGGTGCAGCAGGCCGATGCAGAAAGCATTAACTCCGCTGCGGATATCACTTGATCATGTTCATAGCACCGCAACATCGTCGTCAGCTCTCTCACCACAAACTTGCTTGACATCTTTGTTGGTGTCTTCCACATGTGTCTGTCACATGCTAGAAGCGTCATCAACCCCACCCACGCGCTCATGGTTAATCCAGCAGGGGATCTGAATTCTCCTGAATTTGATGTGTGAATGTGACTTTAAACAAGGAGGTCAAGCAAACAAAGTCCACAGAGACTACAGAGCGTATCACTCTGACATTTGCGTTCACACATGCACAACATTTTTGGCCACGATTGATGTTACCTGACTGGCTGCTGGGAAAGTAAACACTTAGCAGCCAGGGACAAAATGTAACTTTGTTTGATGATTCATTCTCACGCTTGTTCTGAATTAACTTAATTGTGAGTCATTAAAACTCTACAACCAGCACATGAAAGCAGACAATTTAACACCCAATATTCTTTCAAATGTTTGTATTTGTTTGTTGAATGCTCTTTGCAGTGTCTGATTTGAATGCATGTTTTAAAGCATGAGTCCTGTTTGATATATTATTCTTTTAGCTAAGCTTTAAATATTAGTTTTTCTATATAATTTTAAAAATTTCTATTGATAAAAAAATCCAATGGATGCACTGAGATGTGAATGTAGTATTGACCAGAAATGATCCATCAACTTTGAAGACTGTGTCGATGTTGATATTATAAAATAGTATAATCTTATAGTCCAACCTCATTTTACCGGCACAATAGCACTGGTATCATATCAGTAATGCAAATGTTTCTGAAATGATTTAATGGATAAACAAACCAATAAAATATTTTAACTGTCGCTTACCATTCATATGCATCAAAGTATTTGCATAACTTGTCTGCTCTGTACCTGCTAAATCAACAATGAGCACGTGTTTATGTGTCTTTCTGCAAGTACTGTACAACCCGATCATTGCATCTTTGCTAAATGAGTCTGTTGCACCCCAGCTGACTGCAGTCTTTGACACTCTGCCTGTAGTGTTGCCTTTTCTTCCCTGTAGCCACAGAAGCCACCAGCCTGTGATGGTGTTGATAAGTAGAATGAGCTGAGTCTGTGTTTCCCAGCCTTCTCCCTTTAAGTGAATCTAATCTGTCTGACCTCCTCAAATCCAACTATTAGTTCACTATTAATAGGCTCAGGCTACGCACGACACGGTGAGCCTGGCTAGCTACGGCTTAAGGAAATCAAAGCATGTTGAGCAGCAGAAACACTGCTTCTGTGTGTCTCTGTCTCATTTAGCTGGACAGAATCAGTTAATTGTCAGATTTAGCTTCATGCAGACTGACTGCTGCTGTGGTCTGAAGAGTGTCAGGTTTGGCCTTGGCCTCCAGCACTGGATACCAGCCTTGTTGAGCCATGGCAGCAAACCAAATAGACCCACCCTCTCCTCAGGCATTCCCACGGATGCACAAGTCAATACTGTACCTTGCACGGTTATAGAGGTGAATGTGGAATCCAGTCTTTCAGGAGCATTGGCAGATATTTTCACAGTGACAGAGCTGTATTAATCTAATCTAATCTTATCTTGTATTATTGTGTGTCACTGCTAATCTGTTTGCTCTCTGTTGTCTTTTCTCACCCACAGAGCGGAGAAAACAGAAGTCCTCAGTGATGACCTCCTGCAGGTAAATCCTGAACCTGACTGTAGAGCTGTGACCAGAACACGGCACTTTGCAGTCAAAACAGCTCATTTGACAGAGTGATTTTTAAAGTAGTCCGGCATGGGCAAACTTTGGAAGAAAGAGGAACGTGCATGAAGCACAATTCAATATTATAGTTTTTCATCCACAGTGCACGACCGTAGGTGGTAAATAGAAGGTGCCTGTGACCATGCCCGTGCAGAATTAGATAAAACAGCTCATGTGGCTTTACACAAAAGAACTTGCAGAACATTCAGGGTCAGTGTTTGTGAGGCTGGTTAGACCTGTTAATGATTGTGTAATGATGTGTACACAGATTTGAAATTCAGTTCCAGTGCCAGCTCTTGTTTCAGTCAATTTCTACAAAGTATAATGCAAAAAACAGTTTTAAATCGTGTTTAATTTTTTAAAATGCATAATCCAACAGGTGATATCAAGTTTTCACATTATAAGAATTTTTATACAGGCACGGATCACTCTGGTGCATAGCTTCAGTCCATTTATTCTCATATGCTAGCGTCAAATAGCATTGAGGGCTCATGTTTTCTTTCTCGCTTGACCTTCCCAGACAATTTGGGCCATTTCACTTATTGGTCCCCACCCCTTGGCTAGTTGGTGTATTAATCATCGATGAGCCTTGATGCAGTTAAGAGCTGGAATAAAAAGCTTGTAAATGTCACTCTCCATTTCACATTGAGAGTTACATGTCTCCCCTCAATAATATTCTGCAGCTTCAGATGTGTTATTAACAGCAATCTTGGTTAGTGATTCATACATTCATGCTGATTCAGTTCATATTTGGCTCTGAAATACTTCTAAGAATCTGTTGCTGCTTTTCTTCTTTCCCTTGAAACTAAGCCTGAAGTCTACCTTAATTTGTCTTTATTATTATAGTGTGACCGGTCAGTGTTGGACACAGAACACAAAAGAAATGACAATTTGTAACAGGACGTGCAGAGTTTAGTTTTGGTTACACTACTGACTTGGACATTGGACATTAAATGGTCTGATTGAAGCTTGAAGAGCTGCTGGACCATATGCTGACAAAGTCCTCATTCTAACCAATAGAGCCCAACAGATTTATTAGTATCAGTATTTATTCTTGCTGATATGCAGTGATATGAAAACTTTAATGTAATTGCATATAATTATGAGACATATCTTCTCCTAATATGGAAATTTGCAATCCCCTAATAAAAAATCCATATCAGTCTGGTTCTACCAACCAAGCAGCAGCTGATATCTCTGTTTAGTTCTCCCTCTCTGGTTGAAGATTGCTATCGAGTGAATTCACCTCGAGTTGCTCTTGTGTTGTAAACAGTGGAGAAGCTCTCTGTGTGAAAGCTGCTGGTGCAGGTATTTCCCCAGCGGAAATATGTGCGACGCAGACAGCAGGTGGGGTTGAGACGAAACGCTGGCTGCTCAGCAAAGACATTCCTGTGACGATTGTCTGTGTGTGAATGAGAGGGATCATCGATGTTCAAACAAACATCACCGCTGATACACCCTCTATTCTTATTCTTTTCTCCACCCTCTTTTGTAGCCAGTGCATAAACAACAAGCACTGACAGATTTAATTTCTATCACAGGTGGTGTGAAATAAGAAATAGACTGTATATGGGCCAAAAACACATGTGAGTGACAGCTAGAACACACTGGTGTTAAATTTAGAGCCAGCATGAGTTGGTGTAACACAAGTGCACAAGCAGACAGCAGTGACTAACCTCTTGGGGTGATTTTCAGTGAAGAGGGGATGTTATATTATGTCTGACAGTTGACTTTCTCTGTTCCTCAAAGACTCGGTTGTTTTTCTGCCCCTGTCTGGAAATTGTCCGTCATGACTTTGCAGGCTCTCTCACTTCACAGGGACACTGATGTTTGATAAAGGAAAAGGGAGTGAGAGATTGGGAGGTGGAAATCACTTGACCTCTTCATTCCAGAGATGGCTGCGTCACTAATGACAAAAATGCTCTTTTTATCCCTTAATTAATGAGAAACCTCATCTTGGAATATTTGATAAACACTAAAAGTTATTTCATTGCACTCACTTTTTCAATTAGCCTTCAACCCTTTTTTCTTGCTTCCTATTTCTTCTGCAGCAGTTAAAGCTGGGGTTGATGATCGTGGGAAAACTAGCAAGCGCAGGCTACACTTTGGAAAAAATGCAACTGATACATCCCACCCCCTCCCATCTGCCCTCTCGTCGAAGCTTCACCCATGTGAATGCACTTTGACTGACAACTGCTCGAAGCCGACATGTTTTCGTGACTCACTTGCTAACTTCTGGCTATTGTCTCTGCGTCAGCCTTGTATGCCTTGGCTTGTGAAGACTGGTCATCCACAGTGAGAGTATGGGCAGGATACACCAGGCTGGCAGTTCTTACGAGGGCCACAGACACCAACTTTATTCATTGATGGCTACTGGGCAGATTCCACTCTGGACAGGTCGCCAGTCCATCACAGGGCCGACATATAGAGACAGACATACATTCATACTCACATTCACACCATAAGTCAATTTAGAGTCTCCAATCAACCTAATCCTCAATCTGCATGTCTTTGCGACCAGTGAGTTATACATTTATTTCCCTCTCCCATGATTCTGTCCTGTTGACACGAATGAGCTACCCAGCATTCTTGTGCCAGCTGTCCTTCCCTCTCCTCTACATAGCCGCCACAGAAATACTCCACTGTAATAGTTGAGGACTTTTTACAAGGTAGCAACCAGGCGCTTTAAACACTAATGCGTTATATTCCTAATGGAAACAAAGAATATTTTGTTCATCAATGGCTCACTAAAATAACTTGCCCCTTAATGCGTCATGTGCTGTTATTTCTGTTCATTCTGGACTAGTCCAGACATGTTAACATCCTTTCTCTTAGGAACCAGTAAATAAACACTGGCACACAGACACACCTTCTCTGTCTTTCATTCCCTGTCTGTCCTACTTAGCACTGGGATTCCCTGCTCTATGATGCGTCATGGGATTGACCAGCTGTTGACCTCATCACATAGAAAGAGGAAAAACCCACCCATCTTTTGGTTCTGCTCAGGTTCTCCCACTCCTCCGTGTATTTTATTTTTTGACTGCAATGCATTGTGTGTCCAAGCCCTTTTAGTTCCATGAAAGGAAGGAGACAGCAGTTTTCCTAGTGCCATGCAACCAAAACACTTCCAATACACCCACACGGGAAGTACGTCCATGTTAGAGTGCAAGGAGGGGAATCCCTGCTTGTTTTGTGCCTGGTACTCACTGGACTGAGTCTAAGCAGTGTTCACAAGCCTATAGCCTATGTAAGCAGAGTGTGTGTGTTTCTTTTTTGGTAAGTTTGTATTTAACCCAGCTGTTTTAGGAATGCTGGGGGCCACCATGGGTCAGGAATGACGTAAGAGCGCGAGAACAGTGGGAGGGAAAACAGAGGCGGATATCTGCTGTGGAATTCCTGAGTTCCGACTCCTTTCTGTTTTTGGAACACAATTGTCTGGTATTCAGTTGATCCTCCCTCTGCATTTTTTTGACTCCATTCCGGTTCACTTTGCCCTCCAGACCTCAGTGTACCCATTTATTTTTGCACCCTTGTTTGTCCCAGCTGCTGCGTGCAACCCTTGTGCCTTTGAGACACTTCCAGGCTCGTGATTTAGTTTGTCAGATCAGATTTTTCTTTTCTCAAAAAAAACACAAGACACACCTGTATTGTTACATGCAGCTGATTTTCCCACGAGAGTAAACCAGTTCTTAACATCATCGGACTCCAGACTATTAAGTAGATGAACAGTAACTTGCAATCATCAGTTCTTTTCATAGTTTGGTGACAGTCGGCCTAATGTTTACACTGACTGTCCCTGTCAGGCACCTGGCATGACTAGGACAGTGAATAGTCATCCTGCAAGGCTTCAGTTGGCCTCTGTCCTTTAGCCAGAATAGCTGTGCCTCCCATCAATGACAGTATTATATGTTGTCACCCTTAAAGCACAGAGTGGATCTGTGTAGTCCGGCTAGTGGACAGGAGAAAGCCTGTGTAATCAAAAAGACCTTTTTTGAGACCAAAGAGCCCGTCGCTCTCTGTCACAGCCCAGTGGCCGTTGCTATAGAGACACATCCGATGAGTCATCTGTTTGAAAGATAACAATTCAGCATTGTTCCGAAGGTACAAACCTTATCAATCCTGTTTATACTTTGACCCTTGATGTCTCCAAGGCAGCTGAAAATCTAATCTCCAGGGTGTAGTTTCACTATTCAGGGATGGAGACAAGTTAATGGTGTTGATGAGATTAAAGATGCAGTGTGTAAGATTTGGGGGGAGTTTTGTTTTCACTATGTTTTCATTAGCATAAAACCGGGATGTCAAACTCAACTTACTTCATGAGCCTAATACAGACCCATTTTGATTTCAAGATGGCTTGACTAGTAAATCCAACCATCTTTATCTGTACCACCTTTCTTTGAGGGTCCCAGGGGGAGCTGGAGCCAATCTTGACTAGCAAAGCCATTACATAATAACCAGTAAATACAACACCTCCAAAGGCCTGTCAATTATTGGGGAACACAATTTCAGCAGCCTTCAGCGTACAAGTCTTCACAACTCCCCCTCAGAGTATGGCTTTTAATTTGATGTTTTTTTTGTTGGAGGTAATTTAGCAAGCCGTCACAACTCCATCACTGAGCTCTCTGTCAAATCCAGAAACAGGTTATTCTTACCTCAAACCCTGTTATTGTTTATCCTTTCAAATGACTGTGTTTTTCACCAGTAGTGTGGCTTACTGTTTACCCCTTGTAAATTATTCTTTATGAATAGGAACTGATCCATTTTCCTGGATATCCATCTCCTTCCACTTTCCCCCCAAAAATATTGTCGACCTATTGCTCACACAAACAGGAATTGTCTCACTGTCCTGCATGTTGGATCCATTACAGAACCTGTTACTCTTTTACGTTGCCCTCCCCCAGTGGATTTCTTTTTAATGGGAAAGAAAAATCTTTGCTATTTTCATACTTTGCAAAGTCATGCAGTGTGTTAGACAGGACTGGCCCACAGGTCATATATCTGACAACCCTGGTTTAGAGGCCTCGAATGAACAAAGCAAATACTACTTCTAGAAAGGGCCTCTAACATTTTTATGTCACCTGAAGGCTGAGCCTTTAAGCAAAACGAGTGGTTGTGGTACTTGGAATTATCAAGATAAGCTTGGACTGTTTTTTTTCTACAACCAAATGCAATTAAGAAATATTTCAATCTCAATATGGGATAACTTGAGTTATGATATTCAGAAGATATTTATGTTCTCACATCTTTGGTGCAGATCGAACGACGCATGGAGTTGGTGCGGGTGGTGTCCCACAACACACACAAGAGGATGGTGTCGTGTCTACAGGGACACATTGGTGCAGACGCAGAGAAGAGACATGTAAGACATAAATCATTTTCCAATAAAACCTTTTTTATTGCTGCAGGTTATTAACTGTTGTAGATGGGATATGTAATAACTTAATCTTTTAACACCACCCTCTACATGAATTTTGAGTTTTCACTGTTTACAGTATAAATGACGACAAAGTATCCACAGTAGACCCTCAGTGATTTCTTTTTTGTGTTTTCTACCCCACACCAATCAAAAATGCACTACAGTCCGTACCACGCCTCTATACAGGAAATGGTCAGGTAAAAAAAAAATCCACTCTCTGGTCCTCAGCATCACTTGCTCCATTTCCCATTCAGACATCTGTCATCTTTATTCACAATGCATGACACTTTTGCCTTTGGGGTTTTCTGGTATAAAAAACAGGATGTTGAAGAGTCATAAATATCTTTGCACAAATATAAACTGTCTAAATGTAAAAGGAAAAAAAGTGTGAGTGCTGTCATTTGATAGATGTCTTCCTTCCCTAGTTTGCACCTTAAGAACCATTTAACATCCGTATTTTCCTCCTTTTGCTCTGAAAGCTCTCTTCCTCTTCCTGACTCTGTGAATTTACTGTTGTGCTCCTCAATGGAATGTCCTTGGTGGGTTTTCCATTGCTTTGAACATCTAACACTGAAGTTAGTGTATAGAAATCGGTACCTTTGTGTCTATGTCTCAATATAAGTCTAATCACCGGCTTCATCTATCCCTCTCCCACAAACACACACAGAAAAAGCTTCCCCTTACAGCTCTGTCCCAAGCGATGGTGGAAGGCGGAAACCAACTGGGAGAAGACTCCTTGATAGGGTGAGTAGTTGATTGATTGACATACAGCATATCCAGTTCCTTGTCCATGGCAACTGTTGCTGTCAGGAGCAGATGCACCCCAAAGAGTGTGAAATACAAGGCTGAGTATTCATGCCGTGCAATCTGCCCAGTTTTTATTTTGAGTTGACAGGACTTTCGGCAGTTCCCTTTAGTGATGGTCAAATCACTCATCGTGACCGAGAGGCTGCTTGTAGTTGAGGATCTAGAAAGTGACCCAGCAGCCATATGTCTGTCTGGATGTAAAGAGGAAGAGAAAGTAAATCACTCAGTCTTTTCCATACTGTATGGGTTTATTTTAAGGTTTAGAGTTTTTTTTGCGTGACAAAACTAAGGCCCAAAACTCATCACGATGTGCTCCTGGAGAAGGTTTTGTTTTCAGTTATTGACTGAGAACAGAGAAGGAACTAGTGGCACAGACTGAACTCCTTCTGTGTTGTATAGTGTCGAGCTGACGTGTCATTGCACTGTTTCCAGAAGAACTCACACCCTCACCTAATAGTGCTGATATGATAATGAAGCATGAATCTGAGCATGTTGTGATTTTTAACCCTCTTCTCTCTCTTTGTTCGGGTGTGTGCATTAACAGGAAGATGATGGAAGTGTGCGGGGAGGCAGAGAATCGTCTGGCATCAGAATTGATGCAACACGAGCTGCAGATAGAGAAGGATGTTCTGGATCCACTCAGCCAGCTAGCAGAGGTCAGAAACCTCTCTTCTTGTGGACATACCCACAGTGGAACACAAGTTTAAATATTTAATAACACATTCACTGCTCGTTGCTTGTTTAAATAGCAGTTACATCCGTTTGCTTTGCTTTGTTTGGTCTAAATCATAGAAGAAATGATGAGTTGGGTTTCTTTTGGGTATTAACTGCCCACTTGCAGAAGAAATGGAGCTTCTGAGCAAAACTCATGTTTCCCATATTGCTTAGTTTTAGTAACATAAGCCTGTGAGGAATGAGAAGTAAAAGTCAAAACAAAACTGACTCAACCCTCGAAATATTAGTTTAACACAATAACTCCAAGATTGCTCATTTTGTATACCTAATTTTCCCAAACATTGGAACTGCTGGATTATAGACATCGATTTCTTTGTACAAATAAAAAAATTATTTTGAAAGAGACAGGGAGAAAATTCACAGGTTTGCTGTGATTCTTTTGTGCCATTTTAGTATAAATGACATTGTTGTCAGCTGCTAAACAAACCAAAATAAGCAGTTATAGGTATTTTTTATGATTTAACTGGTTAAAAGGCTAATCAGCAGAAAATCATAGTCACTCAGGAAGAGCAAAAACAATGTTTGCCAGGTATTTATCACCCTAATTACTTTTTAACATGTTTTGGGTCTAATTTTCTTAGGTGGACATCCCCAACATCCTGAAGCAGAGGAAACAGCTGGCCAAGTTAGTGCTGGACTACGATTCTGCCAGAGCAAGGTCCGTCTCATCACCTTTTACAACTCGAGTCCACATAATTTCACATTGTGGTTCTGTGACATAGAAATAGTCTCATCCCACTTTTTTGTCTCTACAACTTCAGATGGTTGCAGGCAACCAAGTCAATAATCTCAGGAACAAATACACAAGCACTGACGGCCAAGGCTGACCTACTCAAGGAGGAGGTGGATGAGGCCATGAACAAAGTGGAGCTTTGCAAGGTAAGAAGCATGTAGATGATTCACACATCTTTATATGGAAACCTATTGCTTCTTTATAGACTTGTTTATCAAGTTCACAGGCCGTGTGTATTTTATCTAAATGAATGTGAAGGGTAAAGGTCATTTATGGTATTGATGCACTGAGTAATAGAAGTCCTGGTTAGAACATTAAACCAGGAAGAAAGTCATAACCTCCGTTGCTGGACAGTCCGAGACCCTCAGGCTTTCAGTTTGCTGACGCACACAAATGACTGAACATGCCCCGTCAGCTCCGTGCATGTGTGTTTGCATCTGTTCAGTTGAGTCACTTGTGACTTTACTTGTGTATTGGCTGCGTGATGTGTCAGGGTTTTCTGTCCAGGAAGCGCAGAGCCTTGTGTTTCCTTTTCCCCCATTCTCCCTCCCAGTCTCACTGAGCCCTGCCAGGAGGATTTATGACTCACGTGGTGCTTAGCTGACCACTGATGTCCGCCGTGCACCACCTAAAACATCCATTCTTTTGATGGATGAAACTGTGTAGTGGAGATGGTGATCATTGATTTATTAATGACAGTTAATGCAACAACACTACTCTTCCCCTTTCTTGGCTTAGATTCCCGTGTGTGTGTGTGTTTATTTATTTGCAAACAAAATTTGCTATGATTCCTAAGTTGTTATCAAACCTTTAAGACAAAGAAATGTGATTGAGGCTTGATATGTTTCAGTGTATCTATAATTTAGAATAGATACACTAAATATAGAAAAAAAACAAATACAACCAAATATAATGATATAACTTGTATTAAGAAAATAATGATGAAGACACATCTTCTCTGCTTTGTTTATTCTGTAAATAAAGGTTTTCATATCTATAAACATAAACTCAGATATCAACGGATATCTGAGTTTATACAGATATGTCTGTAAAAGGCTGTAATACTGTCGGCCATCTGATGTATCGGTCATGCTTTATTATAAATAACATTAGTATTAAGCAGACTGTTATCATTTTTCAGCGCTCCTCCTGTTTAACTTCCTGTATTTCCTCCACAGGATCAACTTGCTGCCGACATGTACAGTTTTTCCTCAAAGGAAGGCGACTATGCCCGCTACTTCGTAATGGTAAGCTCAGTGTGTCAGCCCAACATGTGTTTGCATGAGTTGCTGTGGGAACATTCACAGCTGCAGAGTAACCGGGGGGTTGAACACAGACTTGGCCAGCACTGTTATTTACTTTGCTGTCATGTTCTTCACTGCTTGTCTGATTCTACTTACTGTCTCTCTTTCTCTGTGTCTGTAGCTCTTAGAAGCTCAAGCTGATTACCACAGGAAGTCTCTCACTCTTCTGGAGAGTGTCTTGCCCACCATCCAGGCTCAACAAGGTATAATAAACGCAAACATGCCTTTTCACTCACACCCAGTTAACACAAAACAGAGCAGTGGTCTTATAGAAATATCACACACACGACTGTGTGCGGCTCGTAGTATGAGACTTCTTTATATGTGTTCTGGAGAATGTGCCTGTTTTTCTGTGGTGCCTGTGTTGTGTGTTTCTTATTCACTTCTCCAACTTGGTTAAGAAATGAACCAGCTACTGCAACATTCAGCTGTGAGTTCTGAACTACATTTACCCCATTTAAGGTAGAAGGCCATAACTGAGGCCCAGATATTAAAGAATGCTCCTGTGTTTTCCCAAAAGAATCTATTTTCCACTTTACCCACATAATGTCTCCCATTTAAGCTCTCCATGTTTTTTTGTCTTTTCCCCCTTAAGCTGTTAAAGGAGGTTGTTTTTTCCTGCACTAAACATATGTATGTAAACCACACAAGCCTGGTCTCCCACCATGTGGCCATGACTCACAAACTACACACACCACACACACACACCTGGGTTTTGCTGCTCCCCCAACCCCTCACCATTTCAGTCTTCTGCCTCCCCATTCTCACACATTAGCTCACACACGCACATAAATAGAGAAGGAAGGTCGAACAGTCACTCCTGCTGGCTGGGAGCATGTGGTTATTATTATTTATTTATTGGGGGGGTGAGGTTAGGAACTAGCCTGGGGTAGAGTTGTCGTCCCAGAAATCTGCCGGACAGACCAGCAAGAGACTGGTGTGCACTGAGTCCTAGGACCACTTTTTTGTCCCTTCAGATGCGAAACATGAATAAAGTTACAGTATCTAGTCTCACTGCCTCCCTCTACTCATTATTAATCTTCTCCTTGGTGATCAGACTCGTGGACAGAGAAGCCTGCGTTTGGCACGGGGCTGGATGAACACCTGAAGAGATGTGGAAGGGAGATCGCTCTGCCATTAGAGGCCTGCGTCATGATGCTTCTGGAGACTGGCATGAAGGAAGAGGTGAGGAGGTTACACAATCGCACTCTTCCAGCTTAAGAACTAGATATTCCCCTCAGAAAGTGATGGAGACCAAAACAGAGCTAAAAGACTGAGAATTGTCACAACTACTAAGGTTTCTAATACTTTTAATGCGACTTTGAAAAAGGTAGACCAGCAACAGTCAGTAATCATTCAGATGTAAATAAACATCGTACTCCAAGTTATATAAAATGGAACATGATTCTGTTTGTTCATCTTAATTGCTCTTATGTTCTCCTTGTTTTGCCATGTGTGAATAAAAGGAGCTGTCGCAGCTCATTAAAAGTCACATGAAGCTGTGGCTGCGATTAGCGGCTCTACTGGACATTATTGACACTGAGCTTTAAAGTGTTTGTGCGTATAAACATCTTAAGACTTGAGGAGATTGGCGGACAGACAAACTGTAAACAGAGGAAACTCTGTAAAGTTGTTTCAGAGACACTGTCACCCTGATGATTCATGAAATGCGATGTGCCTTTCCCGAAAACAAATTTAGAATACAATAGAATCCACTTTTCTCCCGTCCATAAATCAGAGCTTTTTGTGTGTGTACGTGTTGGTACAAAAAAAATGAAAAAAATAAAGAAGTAGAGAGAGTGCAAAGGTTAACTGAAAAGGACGTTATTTGTGGCCCTATTCATTCCCTGGTGAGTCCCGCCTGTGTCGTTGTGGTGTGAAGACGGCCTTTGTTTATGTGTCAAAGTAAAGAGCTGGCTGTGCTGTGAGTGGAGGGTGTATTTGTTTGCCTGCTTTAAGGTTTCATTATGTGCAGCTGGCTGGGGGAGTGTATGTAGTGGATTTATACACACTCAATGTATAATTGACTGTTCAGAAAGTGTTTGTGTTTGAGTGAAAGCAAAGGGCAGTGTGTGCACATTATTGTTTGTTTGCTGGCAAAGTTACTGTAGTTTATTTGTCTTTGTGTGTGCGTGTGCGTGTGTGTGTGTCAGGGTCTATTCAGAATCGCAGCAGGAGCGTCCAAGCTAAAGAAGCTAAAGGCGGCACTGGACTGTTCCACTTCACAACTGGAGGAGTTCTACTCTGACCCCCATGCTGTTGCTGGTACGTCCGAAAAGCAAGGCTATTTATAAATTACTGCATTTTTTTTTTTTGGTATAAAACTTCTAAACAGTTGGTATCTGTGTCTTCTTGACTTCTCTGTGAAATCCTAAGGCTGGGCTCAGACTACAGGAGTTTTAAAAACTGAAATGATTTTGAAATCAGGTTGCATCACAAACATAAAGAGAAACTTCACACACATTCTTCTCTATAATTTTAAACACACCCACACTACCAGATTAGAAAGTATTATACTGTATATTATAGGATATTAAAATTATTGCACCAGAGGCAGCGATGCACCACCTCACGTCTTATGTGTTATATGTTCATGGGGAAGCAGATAAGAATGAGAACATAAAGAATGGAGAGTGGAGAAGAAAAGTCTCAGCCCAGTTTAAGTGATGTTTTATGATTTGAAAAGTGAATTCAAAACTGAAAGTATCAGTGGACATGTTGTTTCAGGAGCACTGAAGTCCTACCTGAGGGAGCTCCCAGAACCTCTAATGAACTACCAGCTTTATGATGAATGGATCCAAGCATCCAGGCAAGGCTCACAACATTATCGCTGGAAACAAAACATAATTAAACATACAAATCACTGCAATGAGGAATGTATATTTAGACCATTTAGCTACCTAGTACATGTACTATATGTCCCTGCTTTTAATTGTACATTTTGTTTTCTATATATCTAGTGTGACAGACCCAGACAAGAGGCTCCAGGCACTCTGGGTTATATGTGATAAGCTACCAAAGAACAACAAAACCAACCTGAGGTCAGTTGTTTAGTCGTTCTACGAGTCATGACAGTAATGCTTTAGTTTTTCTGTGTTATGACTGTTTACGTCTGTGCTCCCATGCAGGTATCTGGTGAAGTTTTTAGCCAAACTGGCTCAGGACAGCGAATCGAACAAAATGACTCCGAGCAACATCGCTATTGTCCTGGGACCCAATCTGCTCTGGGCCAAAACTGAGGGGTGAGAGGGAGGGGACAAAATTGACAATCTTTGAAAAGCATGATCCTGGTCCTGGGTGGTTGGATGGATTTCCAGAAACAATGGTCTGTTATTTTAACCTATTTCATTTTGGTGACATTTTTGCTCATCTATTCGTGTCCACCCAGGAGTCTGGCTGAAATGGCTGCAGCTACCTCTGTGCACGTGGTGGCCATCGTGGAGCCCATTATCCAGCATGCTGACTGGTTCTTTCCTGAGGGTAGGTTCTGGACCCCTCTCCAGCCGTTGTTTTTCTCCATTCATTGTAGCCAGTCACAGGCTATCGTACATCAGGGACACACAGTGAAGGATATTGATGTCAACAGCCTCGTAAGATAGACAGTCAGCAGTGGTCAAGCTTCCAAGCACCAAGATGACAATCACTCTTGTGTCTGTCTCTTCTTCCTGCTTGACCTTTATGCAAGATCTGTGTAAATCTTATCTGTCCTTGCAGATGTGGACTTCAACGTGTCTGGCATGTTTGCAATGCCCATACCTGCATCAAACCACAACAATCACCTGGACTATGACTGCAGCACCATTGAGAGGAAGCGGCCCAGCAGTATGATGGGACCAGAGAATGACTCATCACGCAAAGACAAGTAACCAGCCAAGATTTGCTTTGTTGCTCCTTTGTTTCCCACACCGTTCATCACTTAATCCAGTGAATTAATTCTTTGGAAATAATTTTACCTGATGCTTTTCCGGGTCCTTTTCTTTTGCTTCTAGTACATTTTGGGCTAATTGGGTAATTGGCTAAATGGATTCTTACAATATGACCCTTAACACTGTTTTTACTGACTTCTCTCTGTGTGCTCTGGGGTTTTGGTGATTTCTCTCTCCTTTAATGTTTCTCTCTCACCGTCTCCCCGCCCTCCCTGTGTAGCACCCCTAACAAGCACTCGGACCACACCCTCCGTAGAGGCAGTAACACCTTAGGTAGAAAGCAGCACACTTCACCTGCCTTCCAGCCTCCTTTACCCCCTGTGGAGGCTCAAGGGCAGGGGCACGGGGCTGGGCAGGTCCCCCAGCCCTCAGCCGAGCCCCAGCCACAAGCTCCTCCAGGGGGGTCTGGGCCTGACGCTGGCCAGCATAGCTTGGCGCAGGGTTTGGCTGCTCTTGCAGCTGCTCAGCAGCTTCTAGCCCAGCACACAGAAGAGCTCAGGTAAGGGCTGCTCTCCTGCATCTCGGCGGCTGGTGGGGAATGACACTGCATGCCAGACAGACAGACAGACAGACAGTTTTGATATAGTGGGATGACAAAGTTTCCTTCTCTGTGACCTCAGGAGCTCAGTCATAAACTACAGCTGATGCATGTTTCACTGGTAGATTTTAGACACCTACTCATCTCACGGTCACTTCGGTTCAGCTTGCTTCTCCCGCAAAAACCACAAGTTTTCTCACACCACCACCAGTTCCAGCTATGCAGACTTGTTTCAAGTCAGCCCACAGAAAGTTGCAACAATAGCTGCTTGTCATTCCGCTAACAGTCGCTTTCAGGGCCTCTCGACTTCACATCCTTCTGCTTTTTTCCCCGAATCAATGGAATCAGCACTGACTGGCTCAAACTGCTTTGAGAGGCCTGGACGTTAGTGTCCGTTCTGCAGCGGCTGAAGGGTTTCTTTGATTTGGTTGGTGAAAGGACAACATTCACGTCCACACAGATAAGACTATTCAGCTCAGCGTTCTTTTGCTCCCACACACTGTTGGAAGGTAGATTTAGATGGGACACTCAAGTTACATTTGTTAAGTTTATTATTACAACACCTGACGCAGCAGATGAGTTTCATCTTTTTTCAAATCTCTGAGCTTTATTAAAAACCACTTAGCAGTGGATGCTCTTGTAGAAGCAGTGGTCCAGAATTTAAGAATTCAAACCCTCTTTTTTCTTCATCCTCTCTAAAGCAACCCAAAGCTACGTGACTCCACATCCGGCCCGACCCCTCTGCTTCAGAGGAACGGCTCTGGAGGAGTGGGCCACGCTGTTGGACAGATGGGCAGTGGGACCCCTGGGGCTGGATCCATGGGGCCCAGCCCTCACACGTTGCGCAGAGGTGAGACCCTGCACTCGGGTACAAACAGACATATTTCTAGTAAGGTCGTCACTCATCCTCGTCAAATTACTTGTTCAGTATGGATGAAATGTATTAATACAATATCGTTTCTTCTAACAATCACATGATTCTTCATCATCTTCCAGGTACCAAGAAACAGGCTCCTCCCCCTCCTAAACCGACTAATCCCCCTCCCAGCCAGCCCTGTAATTCAGTAAACCACGCCTTTTCATCAGGCTCCTCCCAGTCCCTCAGCCCAACCCCCAGACCTCTATCCAGCCACTCCCCCACCTCGCCCACCTCTCCCACCTCCCAGCCATGTGCCACGCCCAGACGCCACTCCAGCAACCAGCCACCGATCCAGGCGCCCAGCCATCCGCCCCCAGAGCCTCCGACACAGACCAGTCCCCTGATGCCGCTCGCATCACTCGGCCAGTCCGGCGGGGACCAGCAGAGCTCGGACCCCTCGCCTCCAAGCACCCCGACCCCTCCAGACACCCCTCCGCCCTCCACCACCACCCAGGATGCAGCAGCTCCTCCGTCCCCATCTCCCTTCCAGTCGGGCTCTCTTCCCCGGCCGCGACCCGTCCCCAAACCCCGGAACCGACCCAACGTCCCACCGCCACCTCAACCCACCCCACTGACAGGCGACACTAATGGGATCTGTGCCACTGCATACAAGATGATGGGTGAGTCTTACCTCTCATACAACAACTGCATGTTAGTTTGCATATAAATGTCACTTCTGACCACTAATGTACTCTGTCTCTAATAGTCTTGCATTGTAATACTTCTGCAGGTTAAAGAAGCACTAGTGAGAGGTTTGTCGTTAATTGACCTTTTCACTTGCACTTTTTGTTTGTGTCTAGATCTCTCACTCTTCATCATTGTCATTTTGTTCTGCCTGCTGCCACCACCAGATCCTGTTTACTGTCGCCCTGATGCACGACTCTCATCCTGTGCATTAAAGTCCATTTATTAAGAAATACATTTCTGATTTTGTTAATTAAAATATTCATGTTACACAAAAGGACGAGAATATAAACCCTCTGGAGGGAAGGTGAGCTGATTATAGTCCAAACCAGTTCTATATAATACACCGATAATGTACCGATTGGGTTTAGTGAAATCAGCAACATCGACTTGTTTCCTCCTGTGGGTTTGAATCTCCAGCAGTGATCCACTACAGGACTTGATGAGATAAAGGTAACCATTTGTAATATGACAGTGCAGCATCAGGGCGATCATTTATCATGAGTCACTCATCTTTATGCACTGTCACTATTATGTCACCAGTAAGGGTTTGAAAGTGATGCGTTCTTACTGAGGCTGAAAAACTGCTCATCTTCAAACTCTCAGCTGTCAGTGGGCAGTTTCTGTTTTTGTTCTTTTTTATGTTTTTTATTGTAAATTATGTCTCATTTGTCTCATTGTAGTTGTTGTTAATGAGTTTTAAAAGCAGCATACCTTCATCCAGCATGTGTACTTCTACTACTACTACTACTACTACAACAACGACATGCATGTTTTTAACTAGACTGTTCTTGTCTGGTCACTAATGTCTCATCTGAAGATGCTGCTCATGTTCAGAACAGACAATCAGAATCCTAATCCTAAACAACATATAACGATTTTTGTGTGGCTCTGCACCAAATTGCACCCACTCATAAATGTCAGTCCCCTGAATATAACTGGTTTAAGCTTGTTTTTAATTTGTGAAACATTAATAGTTGGGACTCTCCGACCAATTACTGGAAGTTGAGACATCATTACACAAAAGAAGAAGAGAAAGAAGCAGAGGCTGCTCACAGGATTGCCTGTGGTCTTCACCTCTGACGATGTTTGATTGAGAGGATGTTCATTTTGTACAGTGTGAAACCAAAACTAAGTGGACCAAATGTAAACAATTTAACAAAGAAAGCGACAATTACAAAGATCTAAGATCTCTGCTGGTGGTACAGAAGGTCCATGATATACTGGACGTGTAGGATTCTACACAGTGAGCACTTATTTCTAAAACCTAAGAAATAGAAGCTGATCGGTTCATCACTGCTTCCTTAACATCAGATTTTCCATCTGCTATCTATGTCTTTTGCTCTACTGCTCTCAGTCTCTGACCAAATAGCGCCTCCTGCTGTTCACTACAGAGCCTTTGCTGCTCACACTATGGAAAATATTACACAGCCTCGCTGGATGGCACACTTGGCACCAGCTTGATCTGTTTTCATGCTGCAGGATGAGGCTGCACGTGTTTGTGATTAGAGCCACTGTTCTTACAATGTGGGCACGAATAGTGTGTTTATCTTGTGAAGGATGTTTATGTTGTGTTGTGTGTGTGAAACGTCTGCATGTGTGGAAACTTCCAAACACTACCGATGACAGTAGGATTCTGTTCTAGCTGATGTTCTACTTAAACTTTCTGCTCTTCTTCGTCTTCTCGCTCGGATTTATTTCTCCCTCATCTTGTGTCTACAGACCCAGCCATGTCTTTCAAAGGGCTGAGTCGAGCGTTGGTCCCTGAGTTCGCTGTAGACCAGCAGCCAGCGATGACCCCTCCATCCTCCTCATCCATGCTGCCTCCTCCCAAAGACTGTGACCTGGACACTGAGAGCACCGTCCTATAAGGAGGAGACAATGACGCGCTCTGGTCCAGAAACACCCCTCACACACCTCCTCTCATCATACACACACCTCAGTTAGTCTCCTTCTGTTTTCTGCAGGCCTCTTCACACTGAGACCAACCTCTGCTGCTGTCCAGCGCCAATGACCGACTCTTTATGTGACATAATGCACCTTCTGGCAGCCATGATGGACGTCACAGTGCTCTCGGTGAATAATGGCTGGGCTAGAGGATTGAATTGACTGTATCGAGGTTCAGCTGATACACACTCGACCAATCGTGATTTAGTCTCAGCTGTCAATCAGGACATTTCCCCCCAGTTTGATCGCATTAAAACAACATAAAACCACGCACCAGAAATTATTTGACGTGCCTTTATTTTGCTCCATGTCCCATCCACTAAGGAGGCTGGGATTATGKACTATACTTCAGCCAGCCACCAGGGGGCGATCAAAACAATTTGTGTTCAGTACACAACACTTTCTAACCATCTCAACTTATTCAGCACTTTGTTGTCAGTATGTTTGATTTACCTGAAAGTTAACAGGCGTAGTAACATCACTGTTAAAATTACAGACACAGATTAGCAGGTTTATTCCGAATCGAATATCTAAAATTAGCTGGTTCTAGCTTCTCAAATGTTTTTTTTTTTTTTCAGAACTTCCATGATAATAAATAACTTCTTTGATTTTTGCTCCAACAAAAAACAAACAACCTGAAAATGCAAAATGGGGTTTTGGGAAATAAAGATTGATATTTTTTACGAGATTAAGTGAGAAAGCGATCAGCTCATTTTATCTCAAGCTGATCTGTAACAGCTCCGGTCAGCCATTATTCACTCACTGAGTCCTTTTGACTACCCTGATGGTGCCAAGTGTGTTTGTGACACACACACACACACACACACACACACACACACACACACACACACACACACACACACACACACACACACACACACNCACACACACACACACACACTCTCACACCTCCACCTTCACCTTCAGACAATCAAACAGCAAAGTGCGAGGACTGAAGATTCACCAGTGACTCTCTCAGACAATAATGTGTAGCAATATGAAGCACGGCCACTGTGCACAGAAAAGAATGGGTTGAGAGGTGAAGGTTGGGTGGGGGGGTCTGGGTAAAAGCGACAATATGGACTGACGAGACTCGTGTTTGGAATTTTGGTGTGAGGTGTTTTTTGCATTTTGTACTGTTGAAAAAATGGCCTTAGAAGAAGATTAAAAAAAAAAAGAAGATGAAGAAGAAGAGGGGGGATTTCTACAGCGTGAGGGTGGGGTGGTTGGGGGATCAGCAGGTGAAGTAGAAACCAAAACTGTTGCGTAACATGTAGCTGGTGACTGCAGGTTTCCAGTCGTCGAAACTCTACCACCCCTCTATCCTCCATCACTCTTGTATTTATTTACCAAGTTCTGAAAACACACACATTCCCTGTGGCTTGACTTAATTAATTCAGTCTTTAAAATGTAAATCATGCCTTATCGGTTCCTCCCAGAACCACCTAGTAAGCATTATACGATATATATTTACTGTACGGAGGATGTACTTGGCTCCCAGTACTTACAGTATTTTCCAAGAAGCTGTCTTGGCAACAGTTGTGTTTCAGGGATGTGAGGACGGTGACTCAGCAGCAGCAGTCGTGTGAGTGTGTGTGTGTGTGTGGGTGTTTGTGTGTGTGAGTGGTTCTGTGTCGTTCCACGGGAGTTGTGTATTTAAATGTGTTGACTTGTTTGGGTTGTTTTCTTTTACGAGGCAGAAGTAGCAGGATGAAGCCTGAACGCAATCAGTATTTTAGCCTTCCATCCTTCTGTGTTTTCTCTGGTTGTTTGCCCGGGACGTTACACACAACAGGCTGTGAGTGAGTGAGTGTGTGTTTGTGTGCGTGTGAGAGAGTGTGTGTGTGAATGTAGTGAAAGGAAAGTTTTGAAACCAGCTTCTTGATCCTGAAAAGAAAGACGCTTCATAAAAACAGCTGATATTGCACTTGAGCGCAGGCCAATGATTGGTTTCCTAGTTAAGAGGTATTTTTTATTTCAACTCTTTCCCACTGAGCTGAGAGCCCACGCCGCCGTGATCCCTCAGTAGTGACGTGGCGTCAGATACATTTTTTTTTTTGCGCCAGGTCAAAGGATGAAGAAAAATGGCTTTATCGTATTTTCTGTGTAAGCTTTTGCTTTATTTTTTTTCTTTTCTGGCCTCAAACGTAATGCAGAGTCCAGTTCCTAGAGAACCGACTCGACATGGTACAGATGGAGAAAGTCTCGGATGCTGCAGTTGGAGCATCGTCGTCCCCTCCTCCCTCTCTCTGCTCCCGTACCTCGCTGCCTTATCCCTGTGCATCAAGCTCGAAGCTCTTTAAAGACAAAAAGCTGCCATGAAACTAGAGACGAGGATGATGCTGCATTTTTCAGCTACATAGTTTTGTATGTTTGCTGTTTGGTCAGCTTAAATGTGGAAAATAAACATGTAATAGGAATGCTCGGTTATACCCCCTTTCCAAAGAAATAAAGTATATGAAGAAACTATTTCAATGTGCTCAATGTGATTTATGTTTGTGCAGTATCATGATAGGAAACATGTGACTGACACGTTTGTGTGCAAAACAAAATATTCATGATTAGACAAGAAAAGGAAAAAGATGAACACAGTTATTTTCAGTAAACTTACCCTCATATCTCAAGGTAGAAAAAGATCAGATTAACGGTGCCTGTACATGAAGATGGATGATGCTTCCATTATCCAGAGATGACAGTAAAATATCCCAGATGTGAATGATGATGCCATCTTGCACCGAAGTCAATTAAATGCATCTCAGCGATCGATCCTGATGTTTCATCCTGTTTTTAAAGCATCAAATAACTCATTTAAACCAAATGTGCGGATGTGAGTGTGATAAGAACTAAATAACATTTACGAGAAATATTTGTTTGAAGGTACTTGACCATCACCACGGAGCTATAGAGAGATGGTTCGGCTTCACTTTAGAGGAGCAGTTAGGTGTTAATGATGTGAACAAACAAAACAAGGGCCAACAGAGGAGAACATGTCAGATTAAATATTGCATGTGTCAACAGACTGTTTGAAATGGGGTCTGGGAGATATGAAAAAATATATATAAATCATTTATACACCTATCAGATCCATTTTTCAAATCCTAACCTAAAATAATCACGTATATTTAGGTGATCACTGTGGATTATACTGTATTCAGTAACTATAGGAGCTCTTAAGTCTCTATAGAATTTCTTTTTCAGGCACAGAGAACTCATCAGGCAGGTTTTAATTTCAAGCATGATATTTTTATAGATCAAAAACATAATATTCTTCATTTCTGAAAGCACTGAACCAAACATGGAGGTAAAACAACCACGGAACATAGAAAACAGTTATAAAAAGGAACCTGTAGGCCACCGATGCATAAACCCTAATAAACTCGACCGGACACGACAGAGATGTAACTTATTTCAAACCTAAATATCCAGGGAGGGTAAATGCTACCAGCTGCACATCCGAACACACTAACTGCACCGACATGCAATCGACTGGGACAACACGGTCACTACACTCAGAGCAGCTAGAATTTCATTTTCTACGAGCCCGGCTGAAGCTGTGCGTGAAGAAGAAGTGACGTACGGCAACTTCCTGATGGTGCTCGGAAAAGAAAATAAGAAAAACAAATTGGGACTCAGGACGAACGAGCACACAGTAGAAAATAAAGATGATGAGCAGTGCATAGCAAATACAGTCAAATTTACAATCTCAACAATAGTCATCATCAACGTAAATACAACACAGCTACAGGTACACTGTACTGTAGATGAGTCATGAGATCACCATGACGACCACAGAAGCAGGAAATAGTCATTTACAGTGGGGTGGGTGGTGTTTTTCTTCTTCTCCCACACGTTTGACATTCATTCGTTCAACAGCCATGAAGTCATGAAGCACGGCTGCATTCACAACACTCAACGTTCACAAGTGCAGAACTGTTAGTGAATCTGGATCTGAATAAAGGAGATAATCAGAATACTGGTGGTTGATAGTGAAGGAAGTCCAACCGTGATGTGATGTTTAAAAACTAGGTTCTCGATCACGTGTGAAGGAGCTGAAGGAGTTAACTCTTGTAACCTCCTTGTTTACAAGCAGCAGCGCGGCTAATCGTTTTTATTTTTGCCTCAATTGAATCAAAGTCATCTAAAATCACACAGAGCTGAAATCTATAGAAGCCAGGCCAAAATAATAAAATAATACAAATGTTATAATATGTGAAATGTAGTCACTACTGAATACTTATTGTTTAACTTTAGGTTCCACTGAATTCCGAATGAATGAAATAGAATATTTCTGTTGATTTATTTACCAAGTTAATTTATTGTGTTTCCATTCCAAACTTGGGCTTTTAAGATTTTTAAGACTTTTTAAAGATTCCAGTTTGGTGTCTAAATTTAACCAATCAAGTTTGAACACACGAGTTTTGGGTGAATAAAACTCAATCCATATCTAATCAAAACCTTTTAAATTCACCTCAACAGTAAATATTTCAATTCGTAAATTTCCATTTCAACATTTTGAATTCAGAGGTGGTTTATATTGTTTGAGGGGTTTGACTTCCAAAGAAAATGGTCGTCTGAGCCTCATCAGCAAATTCAAAGGTAACAGGTGGAAGTGGATAATTTTCAATTTGAATTTAAATTCTATCAAAAGATGCTTTTTAAAATCACAGTAAAATAATTAAATAATCAGCAATGTGCTTGGTTGTTGTGAAAGAATCCGAGATTAACTGTTTTTAAATCTTTGAATTAAATCCTGCAGTATGGGAGGCAGTGAACGCACCGCTGTCTGTTTGCCTGTGAGACTCTCTACATAATAATATAATAACACACTTCTGAATCATCTTGAGTCCGGAGAACTGTTTCAGTCGCCTGAACGCTTCATCTGTTTTTACAATTTTCAAACAGGACCTGATAGAAAATATAAACTTTATATCATCATAGAATAAACACAGCGATTAAACGTTTTCATTACTTACATTTGATTTTAAAGCAGCTTCAAGATGAAGTGAAGGGATGAAATGTACACGGACGTTTCTCTGTTCTCTAACATCTGATGAGTATTAGAATGTAAAGATGGGAGCGCTGAGTTCCTGAATGTTCCTGCTCTACCCAGCACCTGAAATAACAGCACGGCTGCACACGGGGCACTCGATCTCTATTATTCGAAAGATTGGCCGTAGATGATGTGGTCTCTGTTCCCGTTGGTTTGAGTGTCTCTGTGTGTGTGTGTGATCTTGGCACTTTGGTTGTGGAGAGCAGAGTGAAAATGGAGCCGAGCGTCCTTCGAGCTTCTACCAGGCCAGAGGGGAAGACAGTCTGGGGCTTCTGGGGTTTTCTGGAGACTGGGTCTCACTGAGCGCCCTCTGAAAAACAAAACCCATAATCTCATCCGACTTATTTTTATCGTATGATTTTCCGATTTAAAGCACACTTCTTTATTTCCACACACTTGGCTGCATGATCCCTTTCTGGCTGCAGTCTGTGTGAGAAAAGTGACTGAATGCCTGAACTGTTTTAGAGGTTGGACTCTGCAAACACTTGCTGCACGTATCACAACTTCAGCCCAAACTGGTTCTATCGACACAGATGAAAAGAGGAGTGCGGTGACTCGCCTCAAACTTGGAGATGAACTCTGCAAAGATGGCGAAGAAGGCCTCCGTGCTGCTGGACTTGCTGTCCTCCCCGAAGTAGGAGGCCACCCTGGAGAACTCCTCCATCGCTCGTGTCTGCAGAGACTCCAGAGACTGGATTGCAGGGTGGCTGTTCTCCAGGAAACTCTGAGGGTGCAAATGGTCAAACGTTCATGGGTGCTCGTCACGAAGAGTAAAGATCGGTGTGTGTGTGTGTGGGAACTCTTAAATAATGTCTCCTGTGGCTCTGGAGCAGTTTGCTGAAGTCTGAGAATAAAATTATGTTGATGATGTCCCCTTGATGAACAGAGAGTCTGTGTTACAAAGTGGAGGAGTGGAGTTTGAAAGCTGTCAAAGGAAGTCTCAACCATGGAAAATGAAATAACTAAAGATAACGAAGATAATGAAAAGGAAAGATTCTATCGATTTAGGAAATAATGGGGAATAATAAAGCAGTTCTCGGAGGCCCCCTCTCAGCTCAGAGCGTCACCCATAAAAGTCATGATGCCTCAGCCTCTGTTACTTCGATTCTTCATTTCTAAAATGTAACTGGTCCATGTCCCATCCACTAACATGGAGTAGGAGGGGTATATGACCTATACTGCATACCAGCCACCAACTGGCAATTAAAACACTTTGGCTTCACTTTAGGAGAGCAACAGTATCAATCCTCTAATCTCCGAAAGCTCATGAACATACTTCCCAAACTGTTGAGCAAATTCCTCAGAAGTTTCCACGAAAAAGAAAATATAATAGTTTTTAAATACGCACAAATTCCCGTGTGTTTTATGTGAATGATAAAATTGACCTACGCTCATGACAGAGGCAAAGTGGTCCTCAGAGGTGGGCGGGATCTTCAGACAGGCCGTCCTGATGTCCTGGATGGTGGTGTGAAGGTCACTCAGCTCCGTGGTGACGGTCCTCTGGTTCACTGCATGAATAACAGGGACTCATGAGGGGGGTTGATACCGTCTCTACAGTGTGCCGACATCGAACCCACAGCTGAGAGACACCAACCAGGGGGCAGATCTCAGGGGTGGGGCCGGGGGGGGGGCACAATCTGATTAGCCCCTGAAGTGGCCCTGTCCTGCCAGTGGTCCTTACTTAGAATACTGAGAATACATCTGACATTTTGTTAAGAATTTTTATCTTGAGCAAGGAACAATGTTCCAAATATGTTCAATGATGTGTGTCCTTGCTCAAATCTATGGAGCTAACAGTAAGATAGATAGAGTACTTTATTCATCCCCGGAGGGAAATTAAGGCAAGTAAACAAGGAATAACCTAAATGTGCACCTGCCTGAACCAGGAATTGTACATGGATGTTGGACATATGATTGGGGCCCCTGAGTAAATTGTGGCCCCTTTATGCCCCCCCTATTTAGTAAAATCCAAGATCTGCCACCAGAGTAGTTTTTAAATGTCAAATTGAAATACGCAAACCATTACCTCATGTTAACATAAACATATAACAGTCATTTGAACAAACCAGGTCTCACTCTGCATGGTTAGTTGTTTCTGGTGAAGTCTGATAACTCTGCAGTGACACAGTTAGACTTTAACAGGATTGTACAGCTACATTCAGCGACTGACTGATTTTTAATGCTGCTGCAGCATCATCGTACCCTTGGCTGCCAGAGGCACGGTTGTGAGGTCTCTGGAAAAGTTGAGCAGCTCGGGGAAGTGTTGGCACAGGGACTTGGCCAGAATGTGGAGAAAGGTGGATTTTCCATCCACTGTTTTGGTCGTGCTTAGCTGCGAGACACGAAGGGAAAGAATGAGACTTCCAGAGGCCGAAAACCAGAAATTCAGATAAACACCGTGTGGTGAGAGATGACCACGCTGTACCTCGGTCAGGAAGTTGATCTTAAAACTAGTCGTTCTGTTGCTCTTCGGCTGCCCGTTGTTCAGGTAGTTCCCCATGGCGAGAACAAACTGTGGGAGGAGAGAAGAAGTTAATGACCACTGTAAACGTGTAGGCTAACCTCACTCGGATCCCCTCTGCTCTGGATGTTTACCTCCAGGATTTTGGCCAGTTTCTTGCTGCTCCTCAGCTCCACCGAAGCCTTGTAAATGTAATCGTACGCGACCTTCATCTCCTCCGTCCTCTCCTGCAGCGTCGTCTTGAAGTGGAGGCTCCGCAGGCGAGTCTTGTACTCGGGCACCATCAGCATCTGACATGAACAAAATCCCTCATCATTTACTTTCATGGTTCTATTGCTTTTTACAGCACTTTGTGGATTTGGATTCGTTGGGTTTCTGATTGTTTTTGGACCTGGAATATGAACTGGTCGGGCTCGCTCAGTTTGGCCGGGTCCTGCTCGAACTGCTCGTACTGCTTCACCTCTTCGTCGTCGGGGGCGTAGAGCAGCAGCTGCTTGATGTGGGCCGGCTCCAGCCTGTTGGTGGTCATGTTCATCAACACCTGACGCAGCTCGGCGGGGGAGAGCTTCAAATGGGCGATGAGGATGGCTGCAGAGACGAGGAGGAGGAGGAAGAGGAGGAGGAAGAGGAGGATTTATGTTTGTTTTTTCACATGGCAAAGAAGATCACAAGAAGAACTTTGTAATTTTCCACAGTGCAGTTTTTATATTTTATATTTCATCCAAATTTAATTTTAATTAAAATAAAAAATACAATTTTAATTTAATTTGAACTATCTATCTTATTGGAACTGATCTTATCTTATTTCCTGTTTCCCATGTTCTACTTTTATCAACTGTATTATTATTATAATTATTGCTGTTGTTATTGTAAATCATTGTATTTTCACTGCAGTCTCACAGTCTTGTGTGTGTGTGTGTGTGTGTGTGTGTGTGTGTGTGTTACTCACAGGCGTTGTAGGCTTTCTTATGAGACAGAATCTCCACCACGTCTTTCTTTTTAAAGTTCTCAGGAAGGAAGGCTGGCTCTGGAGGAGAGACTGATAATTTTAACAACAGTGTGAGGATGTGTTCTCCAGGCACCGGGGGGTCAACACACACACACAAACACACACACACACACACACACACCCAGTGGCTACACAAGCAAAGCAGGTTGATGGGTTAATAACACAGCTCTGCCTTCTAGAACAACTTGAATAAATACAGGTCTGGTGTGTTTCCTCGTGCAGAGCTGTGTTAGTACAGGGGGGGGGGGTATGGTGCCTTATGGAGAACCTATATGATGAGCAGGTGAATAGAGCAGCTCCAAAGCAGGTAATGGAGAACATCACATAGCTGCGAAGGTATAAACAAAACAGATGGTGTGAGTAAAGAAATAGAGTCATGTTTGCTGTCAACGCCTGATCAATGCATTTCACAGAATGTTCCAACTTAACGACATTTAAAGATGATGCAAATAAAGATATGCTACGTGCTGTGGACAATGATGACGTGTGACCAGACGTACAGAACAACTTACTGGATCTGCGCTGAGTCCCAAAGTGCAGATCAAGGTCCAAGTACTTCACCATGTCAGTGAGCTTGTCATAGTCTGAGTCCTCGCCGAGCTAAATATAGACAAGGACACACTCTGTACTCTCCCAAGGCACAGTCAAGGTTGTGTAGAGGAATCTGTCTAAAAAACTCTTTTTATACACACACACAAGATCTTATCCAGAGAACAAGAAAGTCTAACATGGTGCAGGGAATCAAGACGCAGCAGGAATTCTAGTTAGAAAAACAAGGCTTTTGCTTTGATGCCACCATGACTCATCAGAGACACAGAGTAGATCAGTTGGTTTTTCCAAATATGGGAAGAATAATGTGGGAGGAGTGAGAAAACTCACAGCACAACGTGGGAGGATTCACAGGTAGAGTTATTGTTTATTGTTTTTAAAGTTTTCTAACAGAACGGATTGAGCAAACGCTCACCTGACCCCAAATGGTTCCCTCCGAGTTCTCCACCTGCTCCCAGCGCAGCCTCTTCACGCTCATGTGGTTTGCATCCGAGGCATGTCGGCTTGACTTGGGCAGCGGGGGCGGGTCACAGGGTGGGGGCAGGGGCGGAGGCGGCGGCGGTGGAGCCTTCGAAACCGAAAAAAATCAATTAGAAGTTATTTTTAAATCATAACAAAAGGTCACAAGTAATGTTTTCAATGAGCAAGCATCACTGAATTGTTTCCAGACCACTGGTCAGAGCCACAGTCGTTGCCATGTAAACATGAGTTCTTTATATATTCGCCTTCAGCTGCAGAAAACAAACGTCACATCCAATTAGACTTTGAAGACCAACAACTTCTGTTTACTCTAACACAAACCGAGGATCACTTTAGATTCACCTTCCTTTGTGGCACGTGTCCTTTAAAAAGACATATTTTGCGTTGCTGTTTTTGTGTTTTTCTTATGTCGCCTTGATCTAACGATAGGATCAGAGAATGAACCAAAAGTCTTGTGTCTGTTCTGTCAAATCTTTTATTCCTGTGAAACAGAAAGTGATCTTTGGACTGGCAGCCTGCATGATTCCAGCTCTAGTTTGTTTTATTCTGTTACACGTCTGTTGCTAGGCGTCCAAGGCAGTGGCACTGCTGCACTGCACCACCCTGTGTCTTCATGGATAAAATCTCTCATGTCTCTTGAGTGCTGGAATAAGCGCACGGTCAAACATATGCTAATGCGAAGCGAATATCTTGGGTCAAAGGTCACCAAAGTTAATTTTATTTGCCTCCTCGCTCGCACGGATTGGAAGTTAACGGAAGTATCAGTGACTGAGGCATTGTAGCTCAATGCCGGTCGCTCTGATTGGACAGTGTGAGCAAAAAGGCTCATGGGACAGTTAAGTGTCCTACTTAAATGCTGTTTAAGTGATATTTAAAAAAATTTAATTGTTTTATCTGGCTTTTATATTTATGCATTCATTATAGTTTTATGTTTACCGGTTATTTAGCCACCATGTTGGGTATGGCGTATTATTAAACATGTTGGGGGTCAGAGTTCAACCCGATCATTACTGCTACCAGTCATCCTGTCATGTGTGAGGTGCAGGAATAGAGGAAAAGTCAGATCCACACAAATTCATCTCAAATAGTGGAAGGACCCAGACACACATATGAAAATGTTTTAATGGAAAACCTTGGCCTCCTGAATCCTCTGTGCGAGTGAGGATGCAAATCAAACATTAGCTTCCAGTGGCGAGGCGAAAGTGCAGCATGGCTTTTTGTGATTTCACCTTTTATGAGAACTATGACCGTGAAATTTGCTTTGCATTCAAAGAAGAAATCTAAGTTCTGTATCCCAAATCCTACTTGTGTAAAAGTACTGTCAGAATACTTCTATCAGAAGTACAAGTTATTTCTGCAGAGTCTCGTGTGACTGATACATTATTGTTCATTGCTTTATTAGATGTTTAATGATGATAATCGATTTTGTAAGCTGAATTTATGAGTCGTAGCTCATCGACCATGAGCTGCTTTTTAAAATTAGATTCTGTATATACTTCATTCTGACTTAATTAAGTCAGGTAGTTTCAAAACTGGGGGTCGTGTGCCTCCACAGGGTCACAGGATTCATCTGTGGGGACTTGAGATGATTAATGATGCAGGAAAGAAGAAAAAACAAAGTTCTGATTTTGGACTTTTCTTGACTCTTTGCTTTTATTGTGAAATATGTTTGAAAAGTTATTTAAATAAAGCCATCTAATTGAAAATAACTGCTTTAATCTTTAACTGTGTATCTTAAAAGAATACCACATGATCCCGTAAGTTTTTATACGTATATAAAACATGAATCAAGCATGTCACATCAAGTACAATTCTCCCTTTGAATCCAGGATTCAAAAAGATAGAAGTTGAGATACAAGAACAAAAAAATCCAATGTTAGGTTTAGAGCATGCGATTAGATTTCAATACTGCCATGATTTGTACTTTTACATCATTTGGATGCACACACATTAGGCATCATTTAATCAGGGTGAGTTCCTGACAGCCCACTGTAAAGACCAGTTACCTGCTGTGACTGGTGTTCCTGTCGACTTTCATAAATCTTTTTGTGAGTGGGGAGGCTGGAGTGAGACGCTGGAGGCTGGGAGAGAAGCGCTGAGGCTGCTGGGCCTTGGCTCATACACTGTGAGGGGCTGTCTTCCTGGAGAGATGGTGGCAGTGGGCCCTGGTAACTGTGTTGGTGGTGGAGCTGGTGGTGCCTCTGCAGGACGAGCTGGCTCGGCCTCAGCAGCTGAGGGGAGGGCTGGGGGGACGTCTGGCGAAGGGGCTGGGGCTGGCTGAGCTGGCGCGGGAGGTAGCAGGGGCGGGACGGCTGCGAGGAGCGCAGGGTGGTGGAGCCCACGGTGGTGTGGCTGTGCGTGAGACGGCTAGAGGTGGCCTGGAAGCGCTGGTGACTTTTCTCCAAGTCTTCTCTGGTGGGCAGCACTTTGTGTCGAGGGGAGCGGCTGGACAGGAGGGTCCTCGGAGGCGGGGGAGGCGGGGGGATGATGGGGTGGTGCGGCTGGAAGGGCATGCGGCTGCGGGGGGTGTGCTCGGGAGAGAAGCGGATGGGTGGGAGGGGGTCAGTAAACTGGACGGGAGGGGGTATCAGGGCCTGGAAGGGCGGTGGAGGTGGAGGGCTCTGGGTGGGAGGAGGTGGGATCAGTTCGGATTCGGAGGAGTAGGAGGGAGAGGAGGCCTCATCGCTGCTGCTGTGGTCCTCACTGCTGCCGCTGCTGGGCTGCTGCGGCATGAAGCCCAGGTCCTGGTCGTCCTGGAAACTCATCTACAGGAGGAGAGGATCAACGTCAGACTGCAGATACTCTAACACACAGCCATCTTTTAAATGAAAACACTAAAAATGTATCATAGCTTTGTTTAGTTTTATACTCTCTCATTCTATCATGTGATTCTGAGGCTACGCTCATTACCTCCACCAAGGAGCTCATGTTTTCAGTGGTTGGTTTTCTCGATTCATTTCAATTTGCAGCACGATTAAAGAATAACGTTTTTCACTCCAATTTTATTGAAGTCTCTTTTATCACTAATTATTTGGTATTATCAGGCAAATATGAAGTATAAATAGTGATTCATTGTTCAACCCAAACTAAAACCCTTAGTTTGTTTGTTTGTGGGCAGGATTACACAAAAACTACTGGACGGATTACCATGAAACTTGGTTGAAGGATGTGTTACGGGTCAGGGAAGAAACCATTTAATTTGGGAGTGGATGTGGATCAGGGGGCAGATCCAGGATTTTTTTCCCCCTTGTCTTTAACATTGTGAGAAAGTTTTTCAACATTTTCCTGGATTTCTCACAGAATGTTTTATGGATGGTGGATCTTGATTGAAGTTAAGGAAACTGTTGGGTCTTTGCGGAGGTTTGAGCTCTACCTTTATAATTTTTGACAATTTTTTGACACTGTTCTATATCTAGAAACAGAAGTTTAAACCACTGTTGTACCAAACCATCAAATACCTATCTTAAAACATATATTTGATTTATAAACGTTATATTAACTTAAACATTACAATAAAATAAAACAAATAATAAAGCGGCTGTTATACATGATTTTAAAAAACACCAATGCAATAACACAGAGATTACTCTAAAACATTGGAAACAAAACTAAAAACTATCTATTATAAAATTAGTACAACCCAGTGAATTATGTACAAAAATCACCCTGAGAAAAAAGCTCCAATGTTGGTGTTTGTATCATCAGCCAATAACTTATTATAACTTTAATAATAATAATACTTTAATCTGTATTAATTATACTATATTAACTGAGTATCATGTTTTACTTACAGTCACAGCTCTTCTTCTGAAACCATGACAATCACCGTGATAAATCTGTTCATGTGACACAAGTGTTCATTGTAGCGCACATTAGACTTGCTCTAATGTAAACATGCAGTTAATCAAGCACCACAACGTAACATTGAATTCAGTTATGTGTGAATTTGATTCTGACAACGAGCAAAGTCACACACACACTGAGATTGGTTATTCCTTTCACTGAACCAGCATCTTCAAGAGTTACTGTGGCAGCTGTGTTTAAGTTTATTTATACTTAAATGATTTATCGTTGATATCGTCATTGACCAGCCTCAATCTCAAGAGCAGATGAATGGAGTTCAGACTTCTCCATTTTGTTTTCTTATAATATTTACTTTTTGGCAACAAATCTGACAAACTGTGTTGAAAATAGGACATAGAGAAAAAGGGGGTCACAGGTCAAACCCTCTCTTAAGATATTTTGCCACCTCACTTAGTGCTGTGCTAACTACTCTGGGTTTTTTGGAGTACATGAATGATGTGAGAACACAGTCTGTTACGTAATGAGCTCACACGCTTGTACTTCTCAGGAATACGAGAGCATGAAGAAGTTACCTCTGTTATTTTTAGGGTTCTGATTTTATTTCAGTGTTTCAAACACTATGATCCACAATGTATTTTGAGTGTGTGTGTGTATCTTCTCCTTGTCTTTGTTTGGGTGAGCTCGCCAAGACAAATTCCTATCGACTTTGTTAACATGGCAAAAAATAGAAATATAAAAACATTGTTGAGTTTAAAAATGTGACAGGTTGTGCGTTTCCAAAACAAGCTGAAGGAAAAGGGAAGACTTCTTCTAGTATACTTTGTCAGAGTTGTCAGTTTAGTGAAAGGAATAAAAGTTGTGGCCATAAATCATGAAAGGTACCATGGAGCTAAGAAGAACAAGATATTAAAATACTCCACAATACTAGCAAGGTATGCTTGATAAAAACAAAATGTACTGTATTTGAAGTGCATGAATACAGCTGATGATGTGGTTGACTTCCTCACCTCCTCGTAGTCGTTCTCGCCGGGTACGAAGTCGTCCACCAAAGTGATCCGGTGCCCGAGCTGCTCGCTCAGGGCGTCCAAGAACTTGTCAGTGTCCCGGCTGCGGGGCGGGCGGGAGAAGGTGAACAGCTTCTTGCGGCGGGTCAGTGTGTTGGGGCCGCTGTCCGAGGGGTGCGGGGAGGCGGGGGGGCTCTCCAGGCTGACGTAGGGGTTGGAGTCCACGCTGCTCTGGTGTTGAATCTCATACACAGGAGTGGGGAGAGGCTCCTTCCACGACAGCGACAGGCCGGACTTACGGTTACCTGTGAAAAGGGAAATCAAAGATGGCTGCTGCCAGCTGTGGAGATGTTTGACCGTCACTGTCCTCCCGTGCTGATAAATGTTTAAAATGTGAATGACTTGGCTTATGTGACGTATGATGCTACTTATAATTCCCTCTAGAAATAATCCGCGACACTCTTGGTCATGTTGTCACCTTGGTGACCATCTCTGAGAGGGAACCATGGCAACAAAAGGATAAGCTTCAGCCTTATATACACATGTAGATTAAACGATTTGAATGAGTTCTGTGTCAAACACATTCAAAAATTAGTGGCTCTCATGCCATGTTTACATCAAGGTTGATTTAAGCTGCTGGTTTCATTGCTGATAACATGTTGAAATTTAAAAACTTGAATTTGCAACACATCTAACGAGACACAAACATGGCATCTGTCATGTACCAAGCACATGCAACTTGGATTAAGGGTTCACTTTGTGTGTAGGTGTGTGTTCGGATGTGTGCGTGTCAGCCCTAGAGTACCTGTGAGAGGGGGGAGTGTGAGGGGGGAGAGAGAGCGCCCGTAGGCCTCAGTCTGTCCCGGCCTCTCAGGCTCTGCTGAGGAGCCCCCATGCAGCGGAGACACACTCTTCCCTGCGTACACGTTCTCCAGCTCCGTGTACACACCTGTCATCTACGGATGGAGGCATGATCAGCTGGTTAGCACACAATCGTTGCAGTACATTTGGATTTGAAAGTCTGCTGCTTTGAGGCGTTTAAAAATTTTTTTTTTTTTTAAACTTGCGAATCCGAAGTGAACTGCAGCCTGAAATCAAATTACGCTGCAGGAGTTACGAGCAGACCTTCAAATGACCAGAGCTCACATATGACATAACTAGCGATAGTTATGCCAGCTGCTGAGTAGCTGCAGTTATACCTACATGATTGAGGTCAGGGGACTCTGGGAAGGAGGTTCCATCTCCTGACTGCCTCTCCTCCGGGCTCCCGGATTCATCGACATGAATTCCTAAAGCACAATAAAGCATGAACAGTGACACGTAAGCCTCCTCATTCCATCCATCCACCTCCAGCCAAGAGAGAGGAGAGAGGATGAAGATGCAGAGCGGAGGAGCACAAGGCGAAAAGCTGAGCCTCAGCAGTGGAAATGGAAACTATGAATGAAGCCTCAGATGGAAATAAATATGAGCTTTTGAATGAATAGTTTGAGGAGCTCATCAAAAGCAAAGGTAGCTGAGACATGGAGGTTAATGTATGAACGGCTGATGACAGATTTCTCCCTTTTAGTCTTAAAGTGTCCACAGAGAATTTGCTGAGAACATGATTTCCACCAGTTTGTGCTGCATGTACTGTTCCCACAGGCAGGTGCAGGTTCTACTGAACCTCTTGCTCAAGGGAATATGAAGTACTGTAAGTGCTGAGTGCTACTTATTGTCTCTACCTTATATGATCCCACTTGCACAATATTTTACTTGTACGATATTCTACTTTTACTGAATATTGAAATAATAATGAGGTGGAGATTTTAATAAGCTTTAACGACCCAAATTGATTTGATTTTATTTTAAATGACATTGTTTTAATTTGCTTGTTGATGTCTTGTGTTCTTGTTTTTATTTGTCCTTTTATTTTCCTCTTCTTCTCTTTTCAATTCCCTCTTCTTCTTCTTGTTATGATTATTATTATTATTATATTACAAAGCTTTTTAATACAATTTCATATATAACTGGTGACTTTATGTATCAAAATACATAAAATGAAAAAACAGGTATTGCACTCATATTATATATAACACTATATATACTTATACATGTCCAAAATGCAGAAGCCAGACAACCAAAACGAAATAAAGAAAGCACATTACCCCAAGTTCAATATTACTTTAGTCGGTAAACTTCAGAACTGATTTTATGATATTATTAATAACGTTTGAAGTTCTGGACTCGCACCCAAGTTCATCACTGATCTTCTGACACCAGACGTGCACGAATCACAACCAGAGGTTCTCATCCAAGGCTTTGCTCACTCTTAAAAACAAATTCTAATACATTTTTACTGAGCTTGGGGTCTGAAGTTTTGAAACTATTAATTAAAATTTTAGGTCTGTTTTTCTTACCCATCTTTTCTGTTGCTGTACGATGTGAATTTCATCCCTGGGATCAATTACAAATCATAATCACCAGTGAAAGTGTGGTTTGTAGAAGGTTCTGCATTACTGGCAAATATGTTGGGCTCACAGACTAGAAGTTTGAGGCTCAGTGGTGTTAGTCAGAGAAGTTTGAAAGGAAACAGTGATGAGAGCATCTTTAATTTATATTTGGCTGAGAAGTTTTTGAGGCACCCAGAGAGAAGCTGGAAACTTTGGTATAAATCCAAGGAACCCCCTGGAGATGGATGATAATAATTTGATGCTGTGGAAGGAAACACCCTCGCTTTGGATGTTGTTACTAAGTGCAGCGTACCCATTCCCAGGTGAGTCCCGATGATGCAGTCGTCGGAGCTCCTCTCTCGGACGATGCCGCGATACGACGTCCCTGTCACCCGCATGGAGCTGCTCCGCCGGTGGTGCTCCGGACCAGAGTCGGGCTCTAACACTGCTGCAAAACACACACATTCAACATCACGTTTGTACCTATATACATACTTATACATTCTTATAAGTGTGAGTGTGAGTGCAGATAATCTCCACATTGTGTTTTTCTGTCTCACCACTGCTCTTGAAACCCAGGAAGCGTGACAGTTTGCTCTGACAGCGCTCCTGCTCGTCATAGGTCAGAAGCTGGTAGATGAACTGCCAGATCAGCTGTTTGGCTGGAGTGTCCAGCACCGGGAACACGTCTACTATGAGTGTATCCACGTTCCTGCAAACACACGCGTAATCTTTATGTAAGACACCCATGTCTACTGGCGGATATCTGACAACCCCTTGATAAAAGGATTTAGCTGTAATGAATATTCTTTGCATGTGTAATGCCACGTATAGCAGCAAACAGAGCATAAAGAGGTGGGAGGATAACAGGGATGCCACTTATGCTAGGATTCATGCCTTTAGGTGTTTTGATACTGTATGCATGTACAGTAGAATTTAATCGTTTTCCCTGTTTTCCATCATCCGCCGAGCTAATTCACCATCCATCTCCTCCCTCCATCCCTTCATCCTCCAGGAGATATCATCACAGCCTAATGGGAGGAATAAATATCCTGCTTAGCTACATGCATATGTTTTGTTTGCTGCTCATCATCTGTCAGCCGTTTTCTCCATATCTGTCTTGTGCCTGTATAAAGAATGTCTTTAACAGCCTGATTATATTGAATACGCTTAATTCTGTTTCCCAGGCAACAGCTAATTTTTTCTCCAAGTATTTGTCAATTTGACGTGACTAGTAAACAGAGGCTCAGATAGTTTAACAGATGCTTAATTTACAGCTGTTTCCTGCTGCCAGCTGGAGCTGCCAACCTCCACAAGCTGATGATTATAATGATTATCAAAAATGCTCGATATACACTTTTGGCTGCCGCTGAGTTTTCGCAGAGTTTTCTTTTCTTCTCACTCCCATCGCTCTGCTCCTATCCATGATGTTGTTTAATAATCTGCCTCCCTTCATCCATTGTGTCCATTTATAGATACCACCCCACTTCCCTCCACCCCCCTCCACCCTACTGACCTGTGCTGGAAGAAAGTCTCCAGGGCCTTGCAGACGGTGTATCTCTCCTGGATGGTCAGCAGGTGCTCCAGCTGCTGGCTGAAGGTTCGCCCGTGGACTTTGATGCTCGGTGGAAGGATCTCTGCCACCCATTGCAAGGAGCTGAGGGCTGGAGACCTGGAGAGTCACCACAGTAGTTTTTTGTTTCAATAAACGATGGCATATGGACATACCAGTTAAAAATGTCCGATTTGTCTGTACCTAGAGCGTGGCAATGTGGTTGGGGCCAGGCTAGGAGAGTCCTCTGGGTCGATTTGGTCTGAAGAGAAGTCCGACGGTCCCTCCTCCACCACCAGAGTGGGCATCGCCCCACTGCCCTGCAGCATGGACACCACCTTCTCATGGGAACAGTTCCTACAGAGAGAGAATACAAGAGTGAACTTTGAGAGGCACAGAAATAAATAACAATTGAATTGAGCATGTTTGCAAACCAATTCAGATTTATTTCGGCCTTGTTACACAATATCGATATAATTGTTCAGAGGTGAACTTATCCAGTAAATTCCAAGAAAAAAACAAGTATTTGAGAAAAGTAGAAAACATACATAATAAAAACAACATAATAATCATCCTGTGCCCCACCCCTAGATTTATTTTGTGGCTTATTGTGTGTGTGTGTGTGGGGGGGTTCCTATCTAAACGATTAGAAAACATTGATATAAGTCACAACCTCCCACACAAAGATTTGATGCAGCCCCCATGCCTCATAATAATACAATGTTGTTATGACATCTTGACGTATAATGCATTGACAAGGTAAACCCAAGTATGAGCCTTAACTCATAAAAAATTAATTATTGTAAGAGAAGATGCACGTGTTGAGAAAACCTGAGAACAGCACAGACAAGTAGAATGACTAAAGTTGCACAATATAGTAGATGTCGTAAAACATATGCTCACTTTGTAAACAAATCACTGAAAGCTCCCACATATCTTCTACTTCATTTTCTCTCTCTCTCTCTGCCGAGCAGCTCCCACTGTTTTCCAGATCACCTCCCACTGCTGCAGAACCGTGTTATCAGCGAGAGCAGCGAAATTATACAGCGCCAATCAAATCCGTACATCAGGCAGCCATGGGAACGGCTCTGCGGTTCTTCTTGCACATGGCTATCAAGGTGGCAGCGTGAGCAATACTGTTATCTCGCACAGCGCTGGAGACGCTGGCTGATATATCGGTTGATATACAGTGAACTCCAATGTGGACAATTCAATTTAGTCTGTGATGAATTTCTTATCTGCACTCCCACACTCGCTCTGTGAAAATCCACAGGCAGAAGGTCGAGAAGTCGCAAAGTCCAAGAGAGAACTAGTTTGACTCCTACAAGAAAATGTAACAGTTTACATAAAAGCACGTGCAGGGCCCCATGCATACACACCGCACCTGCACAGTACGTCTGATCTGCCACTGTGAACGATGCTGATTTAACACCAGCAGCAGCACTGACGTCCTAAGTTCAAGACCTGGGACAGCAGGCAAGGACCAAATACCACTGCTGCTGCTGATAGTAATGATAATAATATTTATAATAATAACCATAAGAAGAAGAAGAAGAATGTAATGTATTCAAGACAAACCTCATGTCCAGTCCATTGAGGAAGAGAATGCGGTCGCCTGTTTTCAGTCCACATTCCTCAGCAGGACTGTCTGAGAGGGGGAGACAAACATGTCAGAAAATCAGGCATCAATCAGAAGCTGAAAAAAGGATCCTGGCACAGCATCGAGCAGCTAACAAGGTGCGCTGAACATACGGGACGAGCAGGGCGACCAGTGACTAATGTGATGCTGTCAGTCTGTGACAACAAACAAAGGCCATGAACCAACCAGATGATCTCCATGTTAAATCTTATGACGTGAGGAAGAAGTGCTGTCAAAACAATCCCTGGTGGAAAATCTTGCCTCCTCATCTGTCAACTCACTGCTGAGTTTACCCTGCAGTGAAAGTCCTGTCAGCAGTTTGGAGATAATAAACTCATCATGAGACGGTTTGTGATTTTGATGTGTTGTGCAGTTTTGAGCACATTCACAGGCCACGAGACAGACTTCACATCATGGAGCTCGTGGCGTCCAGGTTATCGATAACAGATCTGCGTTCAGATCACGATGAGAGACATGCCATCCACCCCCACTATCTCCACATCAACCTCCATAAGGCCCACTGAGTCAGTCCGCTCTGGCCGCTTCAGCACATGATGGTGGGAGATGATGGTAGGCGGGAACACTGCCGTCATCAAACACACACACGCACGCACTCACACACGCCTCCCTCCCCACCAAGGAACCACATTCCCTCCACAGGAGCTTCACAGCCGCTCTTGTCTGATGCCTTTATTTCACAAAGCAATAACAGATGATTTAATAACCTTTCACTGCTGGAAACATAAAATAACAGAAGTAATTAAAATGTGCACCAAAAAGCTCTGAGTCCAAATTACTCTGAAAAATATTTAACCTAGAGTTTGGATTTCTTGGTGATTATCTCTGTGGTACAAAGCTGCAATATTCTACCCAGAAATTCATTCAGTTGTGGAAAAAGCATTAAACTGAGCCTAGCGCTTACAAATCTTAAGCAATAAAGAGTTCTGCATTTCAGACCTGAGGGACACAATAAATAAGACTTTGCAGTTACACACAGATTAAACTAATAAATAATAACAGATTTATTATTGAGCTTTAGTGGTGCTGGTGGATTAATTCAACTTTGGTCAAAGCTTTATGTTTCCACCATCTTTATGTTAAGATAGCCCCAAGCATGTAGCTTCATATTAACTATACAGAAATGAGAGCAGTATCAATCTTATCTAGTTCCAGGCGACAAAGTGAATGAGTGTATGAGTGAGGAAATCATTTTGACACATCTATCTTTATATAATTAGTTGTTGGTTGTGAATTAAATTGTGTAGAATACCTAAAATAAATTCTCCTCCGTGGGCGTCCATGAGAAATGAAGCTTTTCTGAGATTCTGTGAAGAAAAACTACAGGAGGTTTAAGATTTCAACCTGGCACTGTTTATGAGCATGAAGGAAAATTAAGTCAAGGGCAGATCGAGGGGCGTGGTCAAGGGGGCACTGGCCCTAGCTGAAAACTGATTGGCCCCTGAAAGGCCTCTGTCCGGCATTATGTATTAAAGTATAATAAATACTGTAATGATGTGTCAAGGAATTTGTGACTTGTACATCTTTTGATAGCTGTGATATTGTGTATGAGAAACCTTAAAGAACTGTGATAGATCAGAGACGGATGCTTTAAGTTTTGTGCTCAGAGGATCCTGTCTGAACATCAGATCGCTTTCTGTCCTCAGGCTGTGTCACAACTGAGAACATCCTCCACACTCTGCCATGAAAATACTTTTATTATGATGACTTTATTACTTATTCATTCATTTATATAACTATTGTTTTGTGAGTAGAATAAAGGGATGTGAAATTTCATTACACAGACTTGTGTTGCATAATGAAAATTAAATTGAATCTTCAAATCTTGAAATTAAACAACTCGTACACTCCCAAACTGCGGGACCTCGTGATTGAATTACTGCTGCCGTCGCTGAGAGAGAAGAAAACTTAAAACAGGATCAGTAGAAATCTGTGTAAAATCCCTGAACTGTTTTTAAGTGTCTGAGCACAGAACAGCCTGTTCTGAGGGTTTTCCTCTCCACATTTTACTGGTGAGTCAGACACGTCCACTTCCTGGTACACTCACTCACACACACATAAACACCTCCTGATCACCTTCAACCCCCAGCGGCTGGCAGACTCACCCACACACACAGAGAGGAGGCGTCTATCAGGGCCGTATTGTTCTGGTTTTTAATATGGGAGTGGTACCTGGGATGACAGAGTCGAGGCAGACGGGAGCGTGACCTCGCAGCGTGAAGCCAAAGTTCTTTTTCCCCCTGTAGACACGAACGATCCTGAGGAAACAAAAAGGGTTGTGAGACGAACGTCATAACATTATTCTAATTCATGAGGCTCTTTCAAACTGGATTCAAATATATGGAATCCAAACTCCAAACAGAAAAAAGCCTTTTGTTCTTTTCTGTGTAAAAAGGATCATAAAAGTTAAAAGGTGGCAAATTCTCAGATCTGAGCAGCTGGAACCACAGAGTGTCTGAAATTTCATTGAATAAATTATTAATTATTTATAGTAATTGTTTTCTACCCACTGTTGCTGTAGCCTACAACCTTTCTGTGAATGGTCGGGAGCCCAGCTGTCTCTGGAGCGATGGCTCACAGTTTATCACGAGGCTGTTTGTGCTTCACTTTTGTTTTGATTTGTTACGTCCTGCTGGTGGGAGTCTGATCAAGTGCGGCTATGACGCTCTCTTTTTTCTTTGTGATTTAGTGTGGGCTCAACTTCTCACATCTCTGTGTTTTATTCAATCAGCTTCAGGCTTAAATAAAAATATTTCAGGACGCGTTGACATTTCGCTGACGGTGGCTCTTCACTCTCATTCCCCCCAGTGGAGGAACACACGCTGGAACCTCCCATTACTTCAAAGATGAGACACATTCACTGTCGTCGCCATGGAAACGATTCAGGGCAACACTGGTTTGGTATGTAAACGGAGGAAAGACGAAAAGAGGCGAAGCGGGGGGGGGGTTGAAAACTGACAAATCTATCCTTTGGTTAGTGGCTGTTATGTAAGATGAGCTAAATGCAGATGGGTGCATTCTGTATCATGTGTATCATGTGCATTGTGTGTGTGTGTGTGTGTGTGTGTGTGACTGTTTGCGAGTGTTTGTGTGTGTGCGTGGGGGGGCGCGTGTGTGTCTGCACGCGTTGGCACCTCCCCG